GAAAGGAAGTGACTANGTTACTTAAACGAAGTCTAACTTAGGCCGCGGTTTAAGAAATCATTGGACCTTCAGATCCTCTTGTTAAGGGGTTAATTTAAGAAAATAAGTGGTTTTTCAGACTACGCTATAATCTTTATTCAAATTGTTTATAAAAAATGGTGCTTGGATAAAAGCGTGGGGCAAACTGAAAATGGCTTAGAATGCAGTTTTGTTAAACAGGGGCTAAACTCCATTTAAATAATAGGCCCTAAATTTTACCTGGAAAGGGTAAAGCATTTTTACATGTATTCTTGCAAATGCTTATGACAACGTATTGATAAAACACACAAGGAAATGAAATGGTAGCCAAATGTTCGGAAAACATCAATGAAAGGAAGTGACTAAAAGGCTTTGCAACGCACACAACTTACAGAAACTTGGAATGATGGAAATGTGGAACCACAGAATAAAAAAATAAATGCACAGAAGATCACCACAGTAAAGATGCAATTTATGCAGTCACGACTAGAAAGCCTGAAAAAAAAAAAAGCTTGCTGGGATTCAAACCCTGACCTATGCAATACTGGTGCAGTGTCTAACCAAAGAGCTTGCAACCCAACTGGGAGCTGGTCATTGAATTGGTCCGAAATATAGCCAGGAAAGATTAAAAAAGAAATAATCTTGTGTCTTTGACTGGGATGACCTTCTTTGCATTTCATTATAATTATTACATTTTAATCACTTAGTAGGCCTTATCATTACAGTCGAACCTCCACTAAAGGCCACCTTTGCAACCGCCACCTCTCTACAGCAGCCACTTTTTATGGCATAGAGCCTATACATTGACTCTTGTTTAAACCTCTCTACATTGGCCACCTCTCTACAATGGCCACTTTCTTTTGTCCCCAAGGCGGCCGTTGTGGAAAGGTTCAACTGTATTTCAGAGATCTTTCTTACCTCCAGATTCCATGGTGCAGGTCCCTTCCTGATCCTTCCAGAGGCATCATAGTGAGATCCATGACAGGGACAATAGTAACCTCCGTACTCACCAGCATTGGCAATAGGAACACAACCAAGATGGGTGCAAACCCCTATCAGAACAAGCCACTCATCTTTTATCACTCGAACTGCGTCATCTTCTGGATCGCGTAAACTGGCAGTATCAACACTGCGAACATCCTCAATTTCATCAGCAGTCCGCCGGCGCACAAACAAGGGCTTTCCACGCCATTTGAACACCATGTTTTTGCCTGAATGAATAAGAGGGAATATTTCCAGTAAATATTTGTTGCTAAAAGCATGTTCTTTAAGTCAAACTATTGAACCTCAAGCACAAGAGTCTCAGAGAACTGAATTTCACCATTCTCGTTTGCATAGTTATGTCATGGGTAGGAAGAGAGGTAGACAGTTAACTTTAAGACAGGTATATTGGTTAAATTAAGGGTGAAATGTTATCAGTCTAGGTCATCTATGTCCTGGCTATCGATTAACTAAACAAGCGAAATGCTTCATCAGATATACAGACTGTCAACTCTCTTACAGCATACACCACTGAAACTGGCATTAGGTGTCTATCTTAGACTGGAGTCCCTGTTATAGAGAGTAAGAAAAAATGACCAAGGAACTTTGGTTTGCCTTTTGGGGAGGTGTCGGGCTCATATACATGTAGCCAACTATATCATAGAGAGACTCCATTGTGAACCAGTGTTAAGTGTCCATCATAGACAGCTGTCGGCCAGGTCAAATTACATGATGAAATAAAGGCAGGGACCAACTTTAAAGGTGTTGTTTTTAGGGAGATGCCCACCTTATAAGGGAGTCTGTTAAAGCAGAGTTGAATGTATAGCTATCTCCTTTACTATATTTGACTACACACTGTCAAAATTATAAACAATTTATAACTGGATGAGATTTTTGTGATATCCGGAATAATCAATGTCAAGGTAAGTGTTATCAGCCGAGCTGAAGGAAAAGGCTGATAACACTCACCGAGACCTAGATTACATAGGATATCACAAAATACCAAATATAAAATATTGTTTTATTATACATTGTCTTCAAGAAAATAACGACAAACACAGCTTCGCACGGAACTCACTTTGCGCTGGAAGCTGGAAATCATTCATTGCCCGTGCAACCTACAGATTAGTCAGTTATCTGCTAGCAGGTAACTGACTAATCCATAGGTTGTGCTGATTTCCAAAATTAACTGTAGGCTCTTAGCCAATGAGAAGACAGATAGTGAGTACAATGTATAATAATTCTTGTGAAACATTAATTTAATTTTGGCTCTAAGATGTACTTGATATCCTTAACTGGGTGACCCAAGCTAACACCTAAGGTTATGCAACAGCTCCGCTCTCTTTTTCTCTACCACCCTTACCTTCAGGAATGGTTGTAAGATCGACTTCAATTTTGGCCATAGCCAAGACATCAGCTGAGGCACTCATTGTGGAAAGAAAGTCAATGACCACATTCTTTCCAATATGTACACCAGTGACACCCATTCCAGCTACCATGAGATAAGTGAATGCGCGCCTGCTAATTTCTGTAGTGTTCGGCTTGGTAGGGTCCATAGAGGATTCTCTTCTGTAAGCATTAAAGTCAGGCATGGAAACATCTGTGTGGCTGAATCTGACTTGAGTCTTTCCTAAAATGAAAGAAAAAAATCTGGTTTCATATTTCATTGAACAAAAACTTTACAATGGTGTTAAGGGAGGAGTGAAAGAAAAAAGCTTGGTTGTATCTGTTGTGTCAGTAAGGTTAATAATTACCCCTTCCTGGCTACCATAGAATGTTTAGGGTATGAAGGAGGAAGTGTAGGGTATTCTGCACTACAACCAGTTTGCCTGTGTTTCAGTATAAGTTACTGTGGGCTATACAGAAAGTAATGTAACAAAGCATTTTGCTTTAAGCCAAAGGCAGTGAGATCCATGCACACGAAGGTCTTCAGTATAACTTGTACAGTATGCAGGCTGGATTCAAATTCAAGACCTTAGATCGTGTGAATGAAGTTACCCTGCACAAATGTGCATACTATCTGTCCCTATCTCTTCCTTCTCCCACATATTGCTGAGAGATGTCATATCCTAAAACTTAAGCACTTGCTCAAGCTCATAAAAACGGCCAAAGTCTTAATATTAAACAAATTACGTAAGTTTAAAGTTTACATCGCCAAAATCCTTCGATGAAGGCAATCCGACACAAAACTAACAAGGGACCTTCTTCGATATTCAAAGCAGAAGAAAATCTCTTTTTCGACTTACCAAAATGTTTCGTGGTGGCGATCATATTGCCAGTGGGTAAAAGTTTTGATACCGAGTGGTTGGTGAGCGTAGCCGGCGGACTCTGGACCGTCTCAACAGCCGGAATTATTACGGCGGGAGTACCCTTCAAAGAATGGGCAATGTGAGCAGTACTGGCGGATAGAAACCTTGAAAAACCAGGCGATATACATTTAGAGGAAAACATCCTGGAAGAGAAAAATCACGCCAGAATTATATTTGTACGCAGACTTTGAAAACTTTTCCAATATGGCCGGCGAATTTTGCGTCACTATCACCCATGATGCAATGCAAGGTCATCTAAACCGCTGACTAGTGGCGCACATCGAGCGCCATTTTCGAAGTTTTGCGCAAAGTTTTCCTAGAATAAGCTGTAAAATTTTGTTCAAAGATTTCTTAGTTACTCGCTGTAGCAAAGAAAAATGATATTGAAGGAAATACCGATGATAGTTCTCAGAGAAACTGGCAATCATGGACAATGGAATTGAGAAAGGGCAAGCAATCTTACCACCGAACTGTGTGGCGCTTCAGCCGTTTATCGCCAAACTCGGTGAGTAAAAGCGTGTTTCAATTTGTATTTTTCTTTGATACTTGTCACTACTGTGGTAATTTATCTTTGGTAGCAAACACACGTCCTCGAGCGTGTTGCACTAAGGTATAAACATCGACGGCCTAAAAAATGACGATGATAACAACAACAACATTAGTTAGGGGGTGTCTGACAAAGTGACGAGGGGATGGGTGGCTATTGTTAGTGAATAGGTGGTGGACTTTCACATAGACCATAATGCACCTTGTTTACCCCCCAAAATTTTGCATAACCATTGTTTCCAATTTCTCCTGGGTATTACAGTTGTCTCAAGAGAAATCCAAGACAATAGTTTTGCAAAATTTGTGGGGGTAAACAAGGCACATTATGGTCTATGTGCAAATGGTGAATGTGTGAACTACAGCTGACCACAGGCGTAGACAGCTGAACATGCACAAATGACGAATGACGTACATGTTTTATACATGTACTCCAGGCACACCTTTATGATCTATGTCATGTAATGTTACCGCACTTAGCCGTCACCTTTAATAGAGTAATGACCTTAAGGTGGCCTGAACCTATTTATATTCCTGTTGGTTATGTTTTTGAATTGCGTTTTTCGGCAGGAAGTATTTAACTGATTTCTATGATTTTTGGCATCTTTAATAAAGAATGGTTGAACTTTAAGAAAATGTTATTTATTTTCTTGTAGGTTTAAAAATGTTTGAGATATCAGCATATGTTTTAAACCTAAGTTTTACAAATATAAATGGTCAAATACAAAGTAGTCCTGATAAATAGAGGTTTTTTAATCTGAGCCTGCATTCAGCATAAAGCTGTTCTTCTTGTAATGCTAACTGTATTTGCCATACGATTCTGGTTACATAGTTTCTTGCAATAAAGCTTTGAGTAAGAATACCCTTTCAGATCTATCTGTGCTTCAACTTTCACAAATGTGTTTGCATAGCATTTTAAGGTTAAATTTGACCAGCACTTTGAGCTGGTTATGTCTCTAGAATTCTGTGCCCTTTCTTCAGCGTCGCTCATGTCACTAGACCATAAAAACTCGCAAGGGGTAAGATTGCTGTGATAAGATAATTACTTATCTTAAGCACAGGAGCGGGTTCGAAAACTCATACTCATACTTAATCGTGTACTCATAGTCAAATCTAAAGTTCCATAATATCTGTACAACTACACCTGCAGGTCATAATGTGCAAGAAATTCGTGTGAGAGCACTGAAGAACATTTTGTTTAAGTTAGACCACAAGCTGGTGTGTGCAGCAGATCTGGTTCATGAAAGGCAGCTGTTGATAAATCTATTGCAATGGTTTAACTTCCCTAACCCTCCACTAAAGAAGGAGGTTTTAAGCATTCTAGAAACTTTGTCCAAGGTAAGTGGAATATATGTAGGAACTGACTACATCAGAAATTAATTTATTAGGAATGGGACAATGATTGTTTTCATTACTGCCATGTCATATCATCATCATCATCATCATCATCATCATCATTGTAGGAAGTTGGCTAAGATAGTGAAGACATTTCTTACATATGAGAAAAGTGGCTTACCAATGATGTTCAAAGGTAAATGGAAGTTCCTTGGAAAGCCATTCCTAATGCTCCCATTACTGCCTTCATTTCTGTTGTAATTTAGATTATTATTATTACAAAATTGACCCCCTCTCTGCAGGCTATAAATTGGAGAGTTCAATATTATTATAATTTACTCATTATATGAAGCACTTTTATGTACAGCCGTAGTAACCTGGTATTATTATATTATTTTGTTCTATTATACACCGTTCTAAGACTTACATACTGTTATTTCAGCCTGTCTCTGGTGCAGAAGGTTTGCTGAGTATTGGTGCAATAGAGTTTCTGTCACACTTGAGACAAGATATTGATCCTGAATTGTACAAGAATGTTGATAATGTGATCCATCAGCTGCTCAGCTTGCCGCAAAAGGATGCAGCAGATCAAGATCAGTTGTGTTTATACAAGGATCATGAAAACTCTGTCAAGAATGATCATCAGCAGTCTTCCGGTACAGGGAGTGTTGAGTTCCTTTTTCTGTATTATTTTTAATTTTTCAAAAAATTATATTATTCTACTAAAAAAAAGAACACAGTTTTCTAAAAGAATCTACTCTTGAGCTAGCCTGTGCCAGAGACAAAACCAAACCTCTTGGTAAGTCTGACTTCATGCCAGCAGCAAAACCCTTGTCCCGCATCTCCAGCTTTGCACCAGCATGAGAGTATGCTACATGGTTGGTCTGTTTAAAAAGCTGTTGTTGATTTGCCAATCAGACTGAGGGGAAATTTGAAACGTACTTTCGATAATTTGTTGAATCCATTGGGGGCCTACAACAAGGATCATGGCACTGCTTCACAGACTTTATAGCTCGGGTTAGATTACATCTGCAAAGCAGGCTACTCTTGCGCATAAATGACAAAATCTACCCACAGATCATTAAAACTAAAATGGGTTAAAATAATGAGAAAAGACTATTTTTAGCATTTTTGATTAACATCATTTAGACCTAAACTACCCATGTTTACCCAGTTGGAACTGTGTCCCTTGCACCTTTTGTAACATAAATAATAATACATTTGAATCAATTTGCATTGTGACTAAAATGGTTTCCCTTTTTGCCCATCATACTTTGCATCAACAAAGTAGTTTTATGGGAAGGCACACCTGTTTCAGTTTTCACTATTTGTCAAGTTTAAAATCAAAGTTGGACCAATGGTTTCATGCTGATACAGTATGAGGCCTTAAAAACTAACTTTTATTTTCAGGCTTTTCAAACACTGGGCAAAGAGAGAAGATATTGCAGACAAAGTCAACATCCTCAAGTGCACAGCTGGCACCTTTTGGAGATGGTTTCCACCCTGCTCGTGGGACAAGTCCTGTTAGAGGATTCTTTGAGGAAAGAGAAGGTCATGATACAACTCAAAGTAGTCTGGTTTCTTCTGTGAAAATGAGCCATAGTACTGAAACGTCTTCAAGTAAGCAGTACACAGTTATTTATTTAGAATTTAGCTCTTATGTGGGATCTTGTGTTATAATTATAGAGGGTGTCGACTGAGAAATTGGTCAAGTGTCGGTCACCGTAAATGTCGATATATTAGCCAAGTATCAGTCTAATTGTTCACACTTAAGGACACTATTTTTGCCTTTCCCACTAAAGACAGGACTACCATTTTATGTGGTCATCTGAGCCATGAGACGGCCTAGCTGTTTGCAGGGTGAAGGTAGAACCTTTGTCTCTTAGTTGTTTTAAGACTGTGGGTATTGTTCCATTCCTTGGGATCAAATCTGTAACATCCCGCTCTGTAGTCAAAGGCTCTACTGACTGAGTTAGTCCTGCTGCCTAAACAGCAACCTCCTTTGCCATCTTCTTTCACAGTACTGCTTCTTTGTCTGTAATGCCTTCAATGGTCTAAGTTTTACAAAAGGTAAGTTCCCACCTTACTACTTAAAAGTCTGTACACACAAGCTGTCATTTTATTTGCAGGAATGAGCTTTAGTGACAGCAAGTCAAGCCTGACATTTGTTCCTTGGCTCTCTTTGTCAGCTAGTGACAGACATATTCTGTCAGTGACAGCGAGCCGCCTACAGAGTCGCAGTTTTTCTCTGGTGTCTAAGTCCTGTGAGTTTCTTAGAAATGTGCTGTTCAAAGATTTTCCTGCTGAAATATTCCTGCACAGACCAAATGTGCTTCAGGTAAAATACAATAATATTATTTATTTGGTTAAATGTTATTAAATTTTAATAAGTTAACCACCACAAAATTCGTGGTCAATTGGTTCATGAGCTTAGCAGTCAAGTGGTTCACAAGCTTGGTGGGCATCCAGCAGTCAATCCCATAAGTGCAGGCTCACATGGTACGTGGTAGCTTTGTCACTACTAGGATTTTTGAGTTCTTTGTTGAGTGTTTGTCCAGCGGTCTATGGAGCGGTTGCTTTAGCGTCTTCCCCTCCTCCCATCCCTTATTTTTCTTCCTTCCACTGTTTCATCAGTGTGACAGGTGCCTGGAATGGGGACTCATGGCTGGGTTGTGGGGATTTGCCACCCATGGGGGCAGTATTCTGATCACAGTGGAAGCCCCTGGGTATCCCAGGCATCCACCTTCTACTTAAGTGAGACAATTGGTTAAATTTATTTTTTTATATGACATGCTTTATTACATCTTTTCTAATGCAACTACATAGCCTCTACATGACAGTTAGGACTTTGCAGTGTAACTACCATTGGTATTACATTGTAAAAATGTTGTCTCAGGTTTAAACAACATTCAACCTGTTAGGGGTACACGTAGCTTCTTGAGAGAGTCAATAACCTTCATGGTAGCCTATACTATAAGCTGACTTGTGGTTTAACCTGACAGTGGCGTATCCAGACCTTCAGATGAGGGGTGGGGGGGGGGGGGGGGGGTTGCCATCCACAACCTGGGATAAGGGGTACCCAGTTTTCAAAAAAACTTTTTTTCAGCCTTTTGGGCCTCAGTTTGGTGTAAAAATAAGCGGGGGGAACGGGGGCCCCAGACCCCCCCCCTGGATCCCCCACCGCCTGCGATTATCTCTTGGAGTTGTTACTCGATATGAGTGGTGTTTGTGTGTATTTATTGTGTTTTTGGTTTTCTTGTGGTGGATGTGGCGAGGAGGTCGGGTGTTTGGTGGGTTGGGGGGGGGGTGGGGGGGGGGGGGGGTGGTGGGTGGGATGGGGGGGGTGGGGGGGTGGGGGGGGGGGCGGGGGGGGCGGGGGGGGGGGGGGGGGGGGGGGGGGGGGTTGCCATCCACAACCTGAGATAAGGGGTACCCAGTTTTCAAAAAAACTTTTTTTCAGCCTTTTGGGCCTCAGTTTGGTGTAAAAATAAGCGGGGGGAACGGGGTCCCCAGACCCCTCCCCTGGATCCACCACTGCCTGAGAATGAATGTTACCCACAACATTATCACTCATGGAAGTAATACATCAAGAAACAAAATGTACATGTGACCAACCAGCTGAGGTATATAGAGCCTTAATTGTAGGGTGCAAGAAAGTAGTATAGAGAAGTTTACATGGCCAGTTGGAAAAAGGGGTTTTCTCCAATTAAATCTTTCTTCATCCGACTTCAAATTGGGCACTTACATGTATATTAGAGATGGACTGTGATGATTATTTCCAACATGGTGATCAAGCATTTCATAAAGGCAAAAGAATAACCTGCTTGTTTGATTGTTTTGTTCACTTTAGTCTCTCTTGGAGCTTTTACAAAGCAAGATTCCTATAGATGATGACACTAGTATTGTCCATAGTGCCTTACAATGTCTCTGTGACTTAACTCACCATCTTTATGTAAGACTCACTGCAGTGTCTGATCCAGTGCTCTTCTGTCCAGATCAAGGTTTGTAATGGATAATTTCTAACTTGAAACTTTGATCAAAACGGAGAGCAAAACTTCCATGCAGAGATGCACAATGTGCTATCTTTTATGTTGAATTTAGAAACTAATGTTAACAAATGCTGCCAACATGAAAGGTGGTGAAGTGGAGACTAACAAACAAACTTTTACTGTTGATAAAAACAACCATATTTTATTCTGTGCCAGAATAAGAAGGGTATTATTGATTCTGAAAGCTCACATGTTTTTAGCTTGATTTTGTTAGCATAACATTTTAAAAGGGGTTCTGCACAATCTCTTTGTCCATTTTCTGTGACAAGCTTAAGGTGCTTGGTTGAAGAAATATGTGCAATATATTATTATTCTATGTAAAACATTACTAACATTATTTTACTGCTGATAATTTCGACAGATTGTTGGAAGTACAGACACATTTCAGTGTCAGTTGAGACAAACAGTCAAGGTACTGATCAGGAAATGGCTGAACACGTCAGGGAAACTGGGGATGGAGGAGTCGACAGGTGTTTAAACCATTTAAATGTTAAGAACTTAATTTTGCAGTCAATTTATGCCATAGCAGATAACTTTGTAAGATAAACAGTGTAATAGTACATTGGTCAACCCTGCCGTTCCTCAGCTGAAACATCGCCAAGACAGACACTTATATTAGTGGCATTCCCAACAATGACCATCTTTAAGAGGGACCACTGTATTTTTCCACTTTTAAAATTATACTTTGGCCAGATACAGCTCAAATTTTTGTTCAGAGTTACCCTGCACTATGATAGGGTTATACCTAACTCAGACACTCCCTTTTTAGTACCTTGAGTCCTCCAACACAAAGTACGCACCCTAGAAAGGGAGCCCTGGGCAACGTCCTTTGAATAACCAAAGGTAACTGAAAAAAATGGTGTAAAATCCAACATGGACCTTTTCAGCCCTGGGTGCTCAAAGTTACTTCCAACATTGTCAAGTAGTGCTGACTGTGTAACTGTGATACAACTGTTTGCTTGAATTCTAGTGAGGACCAGTCAAGTTCCAATCTGTCTGACAACAAAGCTTCTCAAGCAAGTGATGATGATGATGATGAGGATGAAATGGTGACAGAGGCGCTTCAGTTTAACCAACTGTCCTTGGAGGAGTATTGCGTGATTCTGCTTGCCAGGGTAGTACCCATGTTCAGAGGTCCCCTGTGTGCAGAAACAGGCATCATTGAATCTGCTGTTAACTTGCTCCATGGGGTTTTGAGTTTATCAAAGAGAGTTTTTCCTCCTGATCTTTGGAGGAGTGGAACACAGTTAAACTCACTAATGGTTAGTAAAAAAACTGTTCAAAACTTTCAACATTTTTTTCTTCATCAGATACTGATAAGGGCTCAATAACCGGTCATTTTGTGCGTCTTTGTTCCTTTGTTTGCATCATGTTGTTTGGAGGGGTATGACTGGGCTCCCTCAAATGGCTGGAAATCAAGCCAAGTGTTGATGTAAAGGAGGGTTTTTTTGGAAGTTTGTCAGACTGCTGTGGGCTATATGGTAGCAACATTTATTTCAAGCACTTCCTGGGTTGCATTCCTAGTAACGTATAAAATCCTGGGTACATAGTAGATACTTTTTTGCTAAAGCTATGATTTCCTGGTTGCCCGGAGGCAAGGTGTTGAGTTTCCAGTGGCCACAAGGCTCTGCTAGAGTATTGCCCTGAAATTACCTCCTGAATAACTGAGACTACGTGTAGTGCTATGACTGTTGAGGGCTACATGTATGTGAAATCAATTTTGCTCTCTCTTGCTGTTGTTTTTGTCTATCTATTTATCTTGTTTCTTTCATATTCCAGGCAACATCACTTATAAATATTATGAAGGGGTTGAGTGAAGGTATAACACACCACATGAAATTTTACATCCAGCTTTTCCAAGATGATCATAGAGAAACAGATACCACACCATCCAAGCAAAGTCTACCAATACACAGATTGACAGTGGTAAATCTGGCAACATTCCTTATGCAGTTTCTTGAGAGCTTGATTCCCCTGGAAATGGTAAGCTAGAAAGTTGTGATAGTGCTGCAATAGTACATGTAGCAAGATGATATTAAGCCTGCTATACATGTGAATGAATACCGTGTTCTCTATGCAGGCAGTCTGACATCTGATCAGTCTTTCAGTCATGGTTAAGCAGTGATCATTCAGTGTTCAATCTAGGCCTCGTTTTTGCGTTTTTGACGCGGAATATTTTTTCTCACTCAAAATGAAATTATCTTGGAGTCATACTGATACAAAAAAAGCAACCTCATATATACGTACTTCCAAAGCAGCAGGCAATGATAACAGTAAAATAATGTAAAAAATTGGTGTGCTTACTAGCCCCATTTAGCATGCGAAATGACTGTCATTTCAGACTACTTGCTTACAGTACTTTGTCAGGCATTCCACCCAATTCAGGAGAGACTGGAGCATACATTTCAACTTTCTGCATATGATGCTTTGCCAATCAATTCACGCTTCATTTGTTGACTTTTTTATTTTGTTTTCACTTCAATATTAAACAACAACAAAAGAAAGAAAATAGCAGTTGAACCTGAAAAGCTTGAAGATAGGCTGGATGAGGATGGCAGTGAAGCTGGAGAACTCAGAAATCTGTTTAATGATGTCTGTTGTTCAAGGTTTCAATATTATAAAAGTCTGACCCAGACTATTTTTGAAATGACCCAATTGAAAATGCCATGTGGGACTATGACCCACTTTGACTATAATTTCTAGCTTGAACACTGCATATTATAAATAATAAACAGCACCAGGCCTTTTAGTGGAACTCATTTGAATGTTAACACCACTAAATCCAACCTAAGTGGAGCACTCAAAAATTAATGATATGTGTTAACTTAGTTTAAAGAGATGGAATAATTAATTAGGGATACTTCCTACTAGCAAACTGCATCTTTTGTAGGTTAAAGAAATTGCCAGGTTAAACCAGTGTTTAACCTAGTTTGAATTAATTTCCTTTGCTTCCTGGCCCCAATTATTCAGATTAGATACAGGAAATCCTTGTTTAACCTGAGAGAGGATTTTGCTCACAACATATCTATGTCAGTTTTTGTGTTAGAGACGTTTTTGCTCTTTATTAGATAATTAGCGACTCTTTAATACAAAGACAGCTAATTGAACTTTTTGTTATAGTCTTCTAAAGTGATTCCTTCTGAAGTTACAACAGTCCTGTGGTTCCTTTCCATGGATGAACTCTTGGCTATCACTCACTGTCACCTACAGCCTGTGGCAATGAAATTCCTGGCTACTCTGGATCCTTATTCTCACAAACTCTGTCTTTTCACCCAAGACATATGCAAGTCAATGGCGAGCACATGCAAGTTTTTGAAGACCCGTAGAGTCAAGGTGCTTTGTACTGATTGTTGTGTGTCCGTACACAGATCCCATTTTTGAAGACTGAGGAAAGGCCAGTTAGAAACAAGAGGAAAAGTGGGCCTTGTTAGCTTCCGCAAAAACTTCCGGGACTGTTACTGGGGATGCGCCAGTCAGCTATTGGCCAATTTGTTTTACCTGTCCCCAGTAACACTCCCAGGGGCCTATTTCTCGCAAGTCCCAGTAACTTTTTGGGCCCGAAATCAAACATTCAAGTCTAAATTTAAAGAATAAGAGTGTGAGTTCAGGCTAGCAAACTACTCCATTTTGTTTCACTAACTGATAGTTTTATCATGTTAGATGCAAAACTATTGAAACCTCGATCTTTTATGTAAACGGAGACAGCTTACCGGGCCTGTTAATTATCGGGACTTTTAAGAAACGGGCCCCAGAATTCTTTGAGAAAGTTAACTTAGCCCATTTTTCTGCTCAATTTTAAAGTAGCGAGTTAGGATGCATATTTACTGGGGAACTATTCCCATGAGCTGCCTCTGGGTCTTTGAGGATGACAGCTTTTTAATATCAAAGCAAGCGGATGTTTCAGCCTAATTTATACAATCTGCAGTTTGTTAATACTTTTAAACCTAATAGTGGCCAATGTAACAGGTGCCCAAAAATTCCAAATTTCTTTTTGTTTAAAAGAATGTAAATGTTTTAAGAACTAGCACTGTGCTCTAGCAGTGTCTTTTGGTGGCTGGTGCCTTTTTTTTGGTCTTGGGCAACTGGGAAATCCTCTATTTTTTTTTCTTAGAAATCATAAGCTGGGCACCCTGGATTTCACAGGTTCAGAGCCCTGGACTCACTTCATTTTTTCTTAGAGCACAGCCTTGAAGAACCATGCAAAAGCTCTGTCAAAGAGGTTTTAAATAGTAACACCACAGGATTTCATCCACAGATTACTTACATGTCGGAGTGACAAATCATCCGGCTGATAACTTGTTTTCGGGGTGAAAGGGTTAATCAAGGTTGTATAACCCTTCAAGTCCCAGTATCCACAATGACATGCAAATTCTGTCCATACATTTCTTTGAAAAATTAGTTGATAGAATTTGTTAAAAGATCAAAGCATTTTCCCCTTTGGTAATTTTTATTGATTCTCGCAACCTTTCTACATGATTATGTATTGCTATTGTCAGTAGAAAACTTATTTTGGTCATGCTTGTGACTCTAGGGAATTGAAAGAACAACTGTAGTAGATTTGATCACGTTATGCCATTGGCAACAACAGAAAATTAAAATAAACAAATGAAGCTAAAATAAAAGATGAATACATTACTACACTGTAGTACAGTGTTTTGGTTTTCACACTTCTTTTTCTTTCATAGGAATTAAGGAGCTCTCTAAAAGAACTGTGTGACTTGGTAGAAATGTCTGTGTCTAGCGTGACCTATCACAAACACTCAGGGTTTATCTGTGAGGCTGTGAAGATCTGCAGTGATGTCTGCAATCCAGTAACTGGGGCAGATGAAAGAGCCATTCCTATTTGCCACAAGATAGTGTTGCAGTTGCTTGCACATCCTGATCCTGATGTCCGATTACAAGCTTACAAAGAGTCTCTGAATCTAGTGAAGGAAGCCTGCAGTGTTAGTCATGTTACTGAACCATTGTCCATTATTTGTCAGAAAGCTTTGTTTCTGTTGAACAGGGCTGTGCTGCATCAAATCTGCTGCTTTGGAGTTTATGATGAAGAAGGGAAGGTATGATGTGTACGGTAGTTTCGAAAACGAAGCACTCGAAAACGAAGACCGAAGCACGAAGCACCCAAATCTCGAAAACGAAGCACCCAAAACTTGAAAACGAAGCACCCTAAACCTTCGAAAGCGAAGCACCCAAAACTCGAAAACGAAGCACCCTAGATCGAAAACGAAGACCACAAAATCTCGAAAACGAAGCACTCAAATCTCGAAAACGAAGTACCCAAAACTTGAAACCACTGTAGGCTGTACGTCTTGCATGACGCAATCCGAATCAGGTGGAGGCAGCGCAGCGGATGCGTCCGCACCTCCAAAGGTCCACAAAATCCATCCCAAGGTTTTATAAGAGCCTGCCAACTGTTTAACTGAACGTTTCTAGATGGGATATAGTGTATTAATTTTATTATTGGTCTCGCTATACGTGATACATCTTACCTTAATATGCGTTTTTTCGGTACACATGCAGGGCCGTAGCCAGGAAGAAACTACAACCGAGGCGAACACACGGTCCGTTGTACGAAATCAGCCGTATGAAATCTTCTAATATTATCAGTCTGATAAAAAAAATAAAAATCGACAGTATTTGGTAAATTTTGCCACAAGATAGTGTTGCAGTTGCTTGCACATCCTGATCCTGATGTCCGATTACAAGCTTACAAAGAGTCTCTGAATCTAGTGAAGGAAGCCTGCAGTGTTAATCATGTTACTGAACCATTGTCCATTATTTGTCAAAAAGCTTTGTTTCTGTTGGACAGGGCTGTGCTGCATCAAATCTGCTGCTTTGGAGTTTATGATGATGAAGGGAAGGTATGATGTGTACAGTACATATGGCTTATTCTCTGGGCAGGTCTTTTTCATGAATCAAGGTAGCTCAAACAGTTATAGACCTGATAACTTATAACAAAATTGTCACTCTTCTTACCACCTACATGTCACTGATCACTTGCTACTGAAACACCACTGACACCACTGAAACACCTGCCTAGCAGCACATTGTGATTTTGATCTTTGTTTTTGAACTTCTTTAGCCATTTCAAACATTGTCCGTGATTATATTGGTATGACTGCCATAAATCTACTACCAGGATCTCCATCTATGACGGCAATTTCAACCATTACCAGCCTTATTGCACACCCTTGACATCATGATCACGGTCACCGTCTCCAATCACCAGCTTGTTAATTTCAGTTGCCACTGCTACATGCATGTGTTTTGCACCTACAACGGTAGCTTTTATCTCTCTAAGCTCCTCTGTTTCTTTGAAAGTGATCACTATCAGCTCACCAAGATCAGAGTCATCCTGTTAACTATGGGCCTTCAGTTGAAATAAACATTGTTACTGTTGTTAGAATCTTGATCGCTCTCATCTTAATTAATCATGATCATGGTATTGCTTCAGCTGTATTTACATCAAGGCTATTATCAGCACATAATGATAGTGATCATCACATTGCAATCTTGATCATCTCATCTGGTTGGAATAAGGTTTCTGATCATTATGTAAGTTTTGCTGAAGTGTTACACTTACTTTAAATTCTGCTTTTCACAGATCAGTGATTTAGCTTTAGAGCTCATCACTACCCTGCTTCTTGGCCGTCTAAGCATGAGCGGAGAACTTTGGAAGAAGTTACTAGATGGGTTGGTTGTTTCTCTACCTCAGCTTCAAGGTTGTGTTCTTATGGATCCTGGGTTGGACCAATGTATACTGGAGCTTGTAGCTACGCATGGTGTTACTGGAGGACATGTATCTGCTGAGGGAGACATAATAACTTTACCAGCATTAGACAGGCTGAGAGGAGCACTGAGACTCATGTTTGTCACTGACTCTAAGCTACGGACCAAAGGCTTTGAGTCAGTTGTATGGAGTCTCACAAATGACGCAAGTCGTGAAAAAAGAAAGAGCTTGGTTCATGGAATCCTTGCAGAGAAAGCTGCAGACTTATTTATCGTGGATCAGATTACCTCTGCTGTAAATGCACATGTTCCTGTATCACATACGAGTGTGGATACAAGTGAAGTTCTTAACCTACAGTCCATATTGGCTTCTTCACCCCTAGATGTGGCATTAAGGAAGTCTTCGGCTCAGCAGCTAGCCGTTATTTTACAAGGTATGTGCAACAGATATCATAGATTAAAAAAAAGATGAAGAGCAACAATGTTTCAATATTCACGACATCACTATGTTGAGTGATAAATGGTTACTAAAATCATCTGTTATCTTAAAGTTTTGTACTGTAATCCTTATGAAGGGTGACTGTAAGCATGATTCACAAATTGCTGTCAATTTTAAGCAAAACTAGTACCCCTCTTATTGCCTGTCAGTTTTTATTAATCTGCCATCCATTGAGAACTCTCATCATTATCATTACTGCACTTTTCAAAAACACGTTAATTCTGAAGTTCAAAACCCAACTGATGTTTGCATTTTTCGCTGCTGTCAATCATCTCAGCTGACCTCTTAGGAACAGAAGTTTACTTCAACGGGCTCAAAAGGTCATGGTTCGTGATTTGTGATTGGTGGATTTCGATCTGTTTTGCATTTCTCTGTTTCAAGGTTCATTGCTTGGGATTGTAATTATGATTGATGGCAGAGAAAAATGCATTTGTGAAGGCGGCTTTTGAACTTCAGAGTTCGCGTCTTTTTGAGTCTTTTTTTAGTCTCAAAAAGTCTGAGAATTTTTAGCATTGTAGTATCGTATTTGTAGTATCATATCATATTCTCTCCCTCACTGCAATGTTCAATAGTTCTCTGCTTCAGTCTTTTTTGTGACTTGCATTTTTTTAGACTCACAGTGGCACGAACCTCTGCTGAAGGAACACACAGATGAAGTGTGTGTAGCTATCCTTTTAGAAATAATGGAACAAGATGGCCCACTACACTCTTCAACCACACCATACCCAAGGATGGAACTTGTACCTCCTTGTTTGACCATCCTACGACTGCTGGCAGAGTACAATGCTTCCTGTAGGCACAGGCTGGCTACAAAGTACTCCACATATACTTTAGTTACAAGGTACATGTAAGCACTTGGATGTTTGGTGATGTTTTAAGCAACTATCAAAGCATAGGGAAAAGGGTACTTACAGTGACAATAAAGAAGAAATTTTTACATTTTCAGGTTATGAAAGCCAAGCTAAAATAAAACCCTTAAGCCTTAAAACTCTGTGCATCCTTAGCTAGTTTTCCAAGAACTTGGGCTTATGACTTCACTGCTCAACTGCACTCTACCTTGTATCTTCTTGTCTGAGCTCTTGCTCTGAGACAACTGTACAGTGCTTACTTTTGGCACATAAGATACTTAATACTCTTGTTACAAGGTTAACCTGACACTGAATTTTCACTATCTTTTTAGAAGTAATGAAAACACCCAAGTAACTAACATTTATACTTACAGTATCACTAGAGATGGAATATATGATTATATAGCTAAGTTCCTTGGGCTGAAAAATACTATTTATAGCAAGTGTTTTTGTTAGACCTGCAGTCTACTGTTTGTCGATGTCTGCTGTTTATTGTTGCTTAAACCTTTATGTCAATTTATCTTCATCAGAAGTGGAGGATGGTTGAAGTCTGAGATCATCAACCTTATTTCAAGCTTTGAGGAATTGCCTCTCCTACCCACATACAGGTGTACCCTATCCCACTGAAACCATTGATTCAAAGGGAATGTGAATTATGGTTGTAATAATGATGATAACATAAGGGTACGGGGGTTCTCATTGAGTGCCGGCAACCGGTTAAAAAAACGCCTACTTTGAGGTCTGAGATGTGTACTTTTGTGGAAAAATGGGTAAAGTGAGAGAGTGAAAGCCTGAAATTGCCTACAACACTTGATTACCAAGCGGCCTACTTTTATATCCTAGCTGTCTACTTTAAAACTTAATGAGAACCCTGGCGGTTCATACAGCTATTTTTAAAAATGAATCAATGATCAGCTAGTTTACAGTAATATGTTTTTTGTAGATAAATCAATGATAAATACTGATTTGTACAGACAGAAGGCTTTTGTCATATTCTGTTTTTAGGTGTGCTCTCTTATGCCAGTCCAGTGGTCAAGTTAGGTATGAGGCTGCTTGTCTGATGGTTCTCCTGCTCTTTGACGAAGTTGCTATGGCACTGGGTGACAAAGTTAACAGCATTCCTTTCAGTTTGCCAAAGTCTTTGGTGAGAAGGTAGGTTTCAGGCTAACTTGTTCAAATGCTAGGCAGCGCTATCCACCAGATGAGTATTAAGGAAACCAACTGCATTTAATGTACAGTGGATTGTGGTTTATCCAGTGGATAACGTTATCCACATTTTAGACAACTGAGGCCTGATGTTAAGTTTGTGGGAGGTGTGCACTACAAATGACAAAATTTTGTCTGAATGTAGCATTAATTTTCTTTGGGTTATCTGATGCCGTTAAATAGAATGCCATGGTTATGCTTTTGAAAGCATTATCTATAAATCCTTCACCACAAAATAAAGTGTAGACAATATTGGCGGCTTGACCATCCTGGTGCAAGAGCTGTTTTCCATGTCTGGTTGTAAGGTTGAGCACACCATCAGAAAAAGAATCTGTGTATAGGAGATGAGCAAACGTGGTGGCCATGCAAATGCTTATATTAAAGAAGGTACAACACTTGGGAAGTAATGTCTACTGTAGTATTCAGGAGTCAGTTTGATAAAACATTTACAAGTGTGTAGCCATTGTTCTAAAACAAAATTATTCCCAGAACAGCTTTATTTTGTCAGTAACTTGTTTTACCTTTACACCTGCCCCTGCGTAGAATTTAGTCTACAGACTCAAAAATTACACCTACATGCCACCTCTCTATAATTCTGGGAGTCAAATGTTTAACTTACGAAATTTGTTATTTGCAGGCAAACTGTTCATTTTATACCTTTTTTTTAAGGCAGTGTTAAGTGTTTTTAGAGCTAACTAGTTTGCATTTGCTCCACAGATATCAGTTCCCGTTTGCTCCACCTGTCCACACCCCAGTAAGTGTTCATCAAGTACCAGACTTCCAGCTTAAAGATTCACTCACTTCAGAACCAGCCGTTTCCAGGCTAAGGCTGGCCTGGAACCTAGGTTGGCATGAAAATATTGAGAACCTGTCTAGAGTAAAAGGTGTGGAGAGCACAAGGCAGTCAGACAGAGATGTGGGGTAAGGATAGGATATCTTATTTCTTCAGCAGCTTTTGAACCAATAAGCTAGTAACATTTAAACAGCATCAGACATCTTGAAAATGTCGTGTAATTAATGCACATACTTTTTTCTCTTAATGGAAAGGTGTTTTATGGAAGACACAATCTTCATTCCTTAGCCTCCTTCGGAAAACAAGGTTTCAAATTCACCAAACACTGACATTTTGCAAACTGATATGAACCTTCAATGGAGGATGACATGGAGCTGAAAGTACAATTTGTATGATAGATATCCTAGCCTGCGAACGGCAGACGTTTTTCCTCGCTCATCGCCGCTGAAGGACGTTTCCCAAGGAGGAACGTCTGCGACTCAGCGACAGAAATTCCATACTGATGACGTAAAATCTGTCCGGAATCCGGTCGGAAGCACTGATTGGTCGACGGAGTAGTTTCATTGTTTTAGCTATTGTTTACGAATGACAGACAAAAGACAAAAGGCGGCAAAGGTCAAATGTAAACGCGATGAATCTCTAACAAAACGGACGATATTTGTGGAATATAAACTGCTCTAGAAGAAGCATTAAACATAAACATTTAACCCAAGTCAAATTTAGAAGGATTTGTGTGGAGTCATCAGAGTATAATTGGGCTAATATCTCAGAGACAATTTGCCCCGAAATGCTAATTTTTGGCAAGTAGGCGTCTTGGACGTTGTTCTTTCAAAATATCTTGAAAATCCCACAATTTCACAAATTTAATTTTTATGACGTCACCACTTTAGAACTATATATCCACATGAACCTTGTAGGTATTGGCCAGTATTGCAGTGGAGGAATCTTGATGCAGATTTACTCAACTGTAGCCATGTTTCCATTGCACTGAGTAATCAGCTGCAATGTATGGAGAATGCGAGCTCTCATTATGACGCAAAAGTAGCTCTCAGTAAAATTATGGCACACCTACTAGCTGATAAAGGAGCAAAGCCTGGTGTATGCCAAAGGCTTTCGGTGGAGGTCTTCTACACCTTGAAGTTGGAAGTAGCATTTGAAAGGTATACCTTATATTGATACATATTTGTTAACCCTCAGATAAGGAGACTGAGTCGTGGAGAAGTGAATGGTGTAACTTGAAACAAAACGTTTGTTGCATCTAAAGTGAAAGAAAATTGTTTTGATGTCAAGGGAACTCAAGTTAATGTCTTTATTACACATGTTTGCTCTCTTCTGTTTACAAGAACATTTTCCATTTTAACTGTACCTGTTCGTGAATGATGTAAAGTAGTCATTTTAACTGTAGGCGATCTTGTTTGCACAAATTTGAGATGTTATTATCTTCCATCAACCGTATTTTTTACACAAAAGTGTCAACCATCATTTTTATACTGGGGTCCACTTTACCGTATAATTTACATCAGTGAAGTGTCTTCTACGTAGAAATAGTTTTATGTTTACCTTTGACTTTGTGTCTGGCAAACGTTGTGCTATTTATTTGTAGCATCAACTCTTAGCATCTTGATTAGGCATTGTATTCTGCCAAGAGTGATAAGACTTACCTTTTACCACATATTCTGAGCTGCATCAAGGCTGTGCCCAAGAAAAATTCTAGGGAACCTATTCTTTGCAAAGCTGAGATCTCCTAGTCTTGCTGGATCAGTTTAGGTTTCTGGGGAACTGCGCACCTACCCCTCCCCTAAGCCATCATTTTGCCCTACAAAATTGATCCATCTTGCTCAAGAGCAAAAGTTAGGTACCAGGGGCCTCCATGTGCTGCTAGAGCACATCCCTGTGCCCAGTATAATAATATTGAGATCCTACAATTATTCATTTTGCAATTTTTGTCTCACCAAATTTGCTCTTCTGGACCCAGTTGTTCAAAAGCTGGATAACGCTATCCAGCGGATAAATCTCTATCCAGTGGATAGTGCAATTGGTTTCCCTAATACTTATCCACTGGATAGTGATTTATCTGGCCCCGGTTGCTGAAAAGTTGGATAGCGCTATCCATGATAAATCACAATCTACTGGATAAGTAATAGGGAAACCAATTGCACTATCCGCTGGATAGCGATTTATCCAGTGGATAGCGCTATCCAGCTTTTGAACAACTGGGGCCTGGTAAATAGTACTATCTAACGTTTGAACAACCGGGGCCTGTAGTGCATAATGTCTCAGAGGAATAGTTGTCCTTTTGACTATACAGATACCTTCAGGTGGTGCCAAACAGCGGAGATGATGACAGTCTGCTGATAGAACTGCTCCATGTGTTAGATATTATCCTTTCCAGTCCTCATCAGCCTCCAGAGCCTGTGGTGGCCTGGGTAGCAAGAACTGTATTACATAGAGATGGACCACAGATGACTCTACTGCGAAATGTTCAAGCAAGTGGTGCAAACTCACACACTGTCTCTGAGTCAAAAAAGTACAGTACTCCATTTGTTGTCATGACTGCTAACTAGTCGAGTAGAAACCCAATTTAGAGGTTAAGCCAAGGTTAAAGGCGAAGCTCCCGTTAGTAAATTTATAATTAACTTCAAACAATTAACTTGTAACCATTGCAAAGAAATCTATCAGGAGCTGAGCCTGCAATCAGTTAAAAACTAGTAGCTTGTCAGCGGATAACTTTAAAAAGCACGCAACCTCAATGGGTAAACACCTGAGCCCACAATATGGTCATGTGATACCAGTCAGCAGATACCCTGTTTTGACAGCTATCCGTTTACCACAATATGGATGTGTACTATCAGGTTGCAGGCTCCCACACTAGCTAGAAAGTGTGAGATTTTACATGGATTGTCCTGTGGTGCGGACAGATGGACGGACGTACAGTCACGTGATTACCAAAATTTCTCGGATAGATAGATAACCAAATTTTCCCAGCTATGGGGCTCCACTCGAGCGTGCGAACTCTAGCGGAGCTTTATAAGGATGACATTAGCTAGGAATGATCAGGCGTAATACTCTGGGTGTAATAAAAGTAGTGACGTCCACCTCAAGAAATGACCACTATGTCAAAGCTTGACTTTTGCCTGTGACATGAGAAAAACAACCTGGGTCCCAAAGATCAGAGGTTAGTTCCACGCTGGCCAGTAAAACTGATTTGGCATTGCCTAGAACACTTAAGTGTTATACTCATGTGCAACCAAATTTTATTTGCAGAGCACTACGTAAACATCTGCTCTCTTTCCTGGTGACTTTGGTTAAGTGTCTGTCTCAGTACACCAAGGGATGGAGGTTGGATAAAGAACGAATTTTCATAGGAGACTTAGCTTATGCACTGGCCCTGAATCTTGATTTAGCAGATAACCCACAGTTTTATGATCTTCCAGTGCTTGAGACCTCTCTAGTCTGCTTAGTACATGTCACCGCCCAGCCTCACTGGAGCTCCTATTCTAAATATTCTCAAGGGATGAGCCTTTGTCTGCAACTTATGTCCTCATTGATACAGGCAAGTATTTTAGATAAAGCAATGTTCAAGTCAAAAGCAAATAAGCATTTGTTAATTAACCACAGATAGAGATCGTGATTTTGATCTTTATTATCATCGTCATCATCATCATCATCTTCTTCTTCTTCTTCTACTTCTTGTTCTTCTTCTTCCTTCTCCTCCTCCTTATCACCGTCGTCATCATCATTGTCGTCATCACCATCACATCATCATGATTGTTGTAGTTGTTGTAATAATTTATCGAGGGGGGCCTTTTTCTTTATAAGCCTCGTGGTTTCCATGGGCTTCCTTGCCATTACCTTTTAAATGTTTAGAACTTCTTTTTTTATATACCTTTATGGAAAAAGAATAAACTGAACTTAACTGATCATCATCATCATCATCATCATCGTGACCATCATAATTCAACTGCCAAAAAAACAAACAAACAATCCTAGTAGCCCTGCTTTGTGGCATTCAATTCAAATAACAGTTCTTCTGTGATCTTTAAGGCCAATCAACCAAAACCTTTTGGTTTGACTCTTCTGTTGTCTTCCTCAGGTCGTTTTAGCTTTCCATGCTGGCAGACTTGGTGCCAGTTCGTCTTTTATGGGTAAAGGTGTTACTTATTATTCCAGCCTATGTTTGGCTCACCTCACTCATGAGATGGCTGTCATTGATCCCACACAAGTAAGTCATTGTTTGAGTTACTACAGTCTCGGTCAAAATTGTTGAGACACTTTGTTGAGACAATGTTGGTGTGCAAGATTTGGTGAGTCAACTGCGATAACCAACATTGGGAGGACGAGGAGACGGGCCAGAAGTGGTAAAACAGCGCTGGGAGGAAGCGTCCCAACTATTTTTGTGTGAGGCTGTAGGTTTGAGTAACTATTTGAAGAAGTAGATTCAAACGGCGGTAGGTATGACAATTACTTACTGTTTTTTTTTTTCATAGAGGTGGGTTTCACATTGGTTAAGAACTCAAGACCCTCAAGAAGAGCCACTTTCTTGGCTTGTACCTTTGTTGACAGACCGATGGCCAGATATTCGTTGGACTGGCCTTTCTATCTGTACAAGCCTTGCAGTCAGTGAGCAAGGGAGAGAAGTACTTAAAGTTGCTGGGCAGAAATTTGTAGGGGGCTTATGGAACTTTGTGCTTAGCATTCTGTTGGATGAAATGGAATGTGGTCTTGTTAGACAACAGGTTGGTTTGATCTGTTGACGTATTCCAATTCTTTCTTTCACCATCTATGCCCTAGCCTTCTGCGTCGTAGACGTAATTTAGCCTCGGTTATTAACGTCTGCGAAGCAGCGCCGAGATCCTTGTTCTGGGTCCCGTTTCTCGAAAGTCCCGATAAAAAACGGGCCCGTTAAGCTGTTGTCGGTTGACATGCAAGATAGAGTTCAATAGTTTTGCACCTAACATGACAAGCCAATCATGGCGCGGACTCAAATCTTGGTACACAGGTGGGGGCCTAAACCGAGGATTTCGGCGCTGTTTCGCAGACGGGCTAAACCAGAGTCAGCTTCCTCTGCAACGCAGGCTAGCTATGCCCTTAAATAACCATCTTTCTCAGAAGTAGACTACTTTTGCTCTTTAGTTATCACCTTCGCTCCAAAATTAAATATTTGTCTAGGGTCCGATTTTAAGCCGTTTGGGTGAATAAATTACACTACCCCTAAATTTATGGTCAACTTTTCTGCCTGTATAATACCTATTTACTTATAGGCCTTTAGTTGTTGTTCAAGTGTACATGAATTGTTTTCTTTGCTATTTAGGCAGGCCTACTGTTTTGCAGTCTGGTCAGTGGTCTGTCGCCTGCAAATGCTGTCACTGAGTCTAAACAACCAGACCAACCCAAGGTAAAGACCTATTTTACAGTCAAGCCAGGTCAAGCGTACCCTCCAAGATTCCTGTAATGAATTTATTTTTCGAAAGTTGACTCCGTTGGCAGTTGTAGATTTCAGATTCATCTCGGCATTCTTGCAAGTGTAATGAGCCGAGAATTCACACGCGAGTCAGTCACGAAATTTCTACCTGCTCAGCTCAGCTGTCAGTTTCCCTGAATTTGATGCAAATGTCTTCTAAGAAATTTAATCCATTCAAAGATTTTCAATCTGACCAAATACAGAGAAGTTCTCGTAAAATATTCACTGCTCATTACGCATGCAGGAATGCCGATTTGAAGTTGACACTAGTTTCGGGAACGACTAATGGATTCATTTTTTCAAATAATTAGTTCATGAATAGAATCCTGGGGGGTACGCATGACCTGCCTTTACTGTAATTGTCAGTCGTTGTAGAGACGGATTTATTGACCAAGTTATCGCGCTGGAAATGGCTTAACAGGGTTCGTACATGTCATGGAAAATGAAATTCTTAAATTTCATGACTTTCCAGGCCTGGAAAGTCATGGAAAATTGTTTGGTAGATTATTTATTGCAGATGTCAAAGCAAAGACAAAGAAAGATAGAGACAGCTAATTAAATGTCACGAATGAAGCTATTTTGGTGGACACTGAATTACATCTGATGGTAAAAAATATCACCAAAAACAAGAATGGTTTTGAAAATTTTCAAAAGTGACAGCTGAAACTAAGGTCATGGAAAAAGTCGCGGAAAATCGCTCAAAAGAGTACGAACCCTGGTTAATATTTTCCCCACGTTTGTATGAAGCCCCTTGACAGTAAGGCGTGTTCTTTGTTTTGTTTTTAGAATGGCTCCAAGGGAACTCAAGTTGTTCTCTCCTTACTTGATCAATTCAAGTTTTTCCAGAAGCTCTTTAACATGCTCTCCATCGGTACTTTTCCATTGACGGACTCACATGGAACAAACAGGGCCTGCCAGAGCTCGGCCACAGCGTCCATCTCATCAGGCACCGATACAGACATTCCTTACAAGCCCCTTAGTTCAACGTCCCGATCCCAATCACAGCCTGGCAGTGTGAGCTCAGAGGCCCAAACAACTACTACTGAATCAGCTAATGGAAAAGTTAGCCCAGGAATCTTCTCTGTTGCCTCGCACACCTCTAGTACCATGCTATCAGGGGTGTCGTCATCCGCACCGGAAACACAGCTCTCAAGGACACCCACATCACTGGTGCCACTAATTAATGAAAGAGGTCTTCCAAGTGGGTATGTTCTTGCGTACTTTCCGACTCACAGGCTGGCTTAAACAGGATTTATTCCACGAATTGGCTCGTTGGACCCCTTTCTAAGAATGTTAAAGGTCTTTTTTTTAGAACGGAGACGCAAAGTATTTTTAGTTTTGCTTAACGTCTGCCTCTTAGCACTGTTCTCTTTATAGATCTTAATCAACTGTAAGCACAGATTTTCATCGAGTGGTTTCAGCAAAAACAAGTCAGCCTTCCTTTCTCCCTTTTCTTTTGAACATGTGATGATTAGTTTATTTGAATCAAATCGCGAGCCAAAAAGTTGTTAAGAGTAAAGAAATGCAGGCCTCTAAAGACACAGGTGTGCTTTATGATATTTTTTTTTGTTTTACAAGCCAAAGCCCCGAGGGTGGTTAATTCCAACAGAAGACAACTTTAAGAATGACCTACAATCCTAGATAAAAGTCCTCGGGACAGTGATGTAGTATTCATAATTTTCTGTAATTTCTTGGTGCTCTCATAAAACAGTGCAACATTTTTGAAAATATCTGGTACTTTTCTCTTTCCCCACCCCTTCCCCTTCCTATACAATGTTGAAACTCGGCGACCAATGTGGACACACGCTTCCAACGTTGTTTTTGGGGTGGGGGAGTTGGGCATGTGTAATTTGGAAAAAAGCCTCACAAATGCAAATGTGTACCAAGACTTTTGTTCATGATTGTAGTTATACCTGATCAGATCTGTTCTGTTGGTTTCAGTATGTCCAGTGCAAGCAGCAGCAATGTGAGTAGTTCAGCAGGTTCCACGGCATCATCAGGAACTACATCAGTTTGTACAGGATCCTCAGTCACCCCAGGACTTATTGGTACAATGGCGCGCCTGTTGCACAACGTAGTCTTCCTGTCTCCTGGACATATTATTTCAGCTCTTAACAAGGCTGAGATTCTGAACTCGCTAATTGAGTAAGTATTTGAAGGAGAAATACACTGGACTCGCGATTTTATCGAAGGGCGAGAAAACTTGGGGTAAAGATACATGTACCTTGTTAGACCGGGGAAGGAATGTTTTCAATCAGTTTATCAAGAGGTTCGAGAACTTATCAGCAAGTGCAATAATATGATTAATAGTAGTCATCAACAACATTGTCATCATCATCATCAGCAGCAGAAGCAACAGCAACAAACAGGAGCTCCTGCATCAACTGAATTATTATCTAAAATGTTGTCAACTTAATCACCAATGACGTCATCAACATCATTATCATCATCATCATCATCATCATCATCATCATCAACACTAGCATCATCGTTTTTGTCAACATAATCATCACCATACCTTGTCAATAACCATCTTTCTCCTGGAATAGTCTTTCAATATTATGTATCAATCAGATTGAATAATACATTCATGCACACAAACAGCACTAACTTCAACCTTTTGGAGGCGGCTACCTCCTGGAAGCAAGAGACGGGATGCCGACGACTACCTCTCTCCGGCTCTGGATTGATATGGTCTCGGTTTTATGGTCTTTTAGCATTAAACGTTTCCCTTTTTGTCCACAGCCATATTGAATGCTCAAGAGTGCAAAGCTTCCTCAGTGATAAAGACTCCTTGCCTCTGTCCACTGCAGCCAGAGTGGTTATCAAGGAAATACTCTCTATGTACAGCGATATTTTGGCGTTCCTTCACTCTGTTGTGCAACTGAATACTATCATCTGTTTCAATTTGCTGCAAGACCAGGAAGCTCTTGACAGGATTGTGCGGTTATTTTCAATATCTTGCCCTTGCGCAGGTTAGCTCGTCCTAATGTACGTCGCTTGTTTAAGTGTCACAATAAGGAGCTAGGCATCTAATGCTTAATTGGATCATTTTAAGATTCTTAGAAACTAGCCACATAACCTGCGATTCCATCCACCAGAGTGACGATGGGTACCTTAAAGTTATGATGCCCACATAAAGTAATTCCTTATTCCTCATCGAGGAGGGACGGCAGTGATTAGCGTTAAAGCACTGAAAATATTGATTAGGGCATTGACTAAAGAGATTAGGCATTGACTCGAGATGGTTGTTAGGGTCGTCACTGTAAATCTGTAATTCAGAAACGTTCTGGCCAGAACGTCCGCCATGGTGTAGTGGTATGGACTACAATCCCTGCGCTCTGAGTCGATTTCTAATAATGCCTTTTTAAAAGTTTGAAGAGACTTATCAGTGGTACTGATCATTGATTCACAGATGACACTCTTCAAAACCTCGTTTACGCTGCATGGGAGAGTGTATGCAGGTTCCTGGTTACGCTGCTGCAGAAGCAAGGCCAGTTGTCTGTTCCTAGCGTGGTTGAAGAGACAGTGTTTAGCAACTGGAGTTTATTCACAGGTAGATTATGATAATGATCTTTAAATTGACTTCAGCTAAATGGTCTGCATGAATTAACATTTTACAGCCTTCTTGTGTCTGTATACACGACCTCACTTACGGCGGGCGGTGTTGAGAAAAGGGTGACTTCCCTCTTTCTTGTGCAAGACCAAACTCTTACACATATGAATGTGGGAACAACTTTTTGTGATGACAATAACCCGAGATTTCTCGCTTTCGTCTACTCTTCAGGTGTGTTCAAAAGCTCCCTTAGAGAAAGCAAATCCCCCTCCCCCTCCTCCCTAAGAAATTTACTGCTGAAGCTCCTTGGTCTTCTTCTAACTTTGGAGGGCAAACGCTGCACTAACGGGAGAGGCCTGAGTGAAGAAAGAGGCGATAAACCAGCAAAAATGAATCGCTTGAATCGCTTATTGGACACCAAGATAGACCGTGCTCGTGGAGATCAAATGGACTCATTAAAAGGCAACGGAGGGCAAAACGAACCTAATGGTGAAAGCAATGCATGTACTGAGTCTACCGGAAGTGAAATGTGTAGAGTTTTGCTTGATGTTTATGAACATGCGCAATCGCGGAGTGTAGGGGTCCCAGATGAAGAGAGAGGCCTGGTGCCTGCAGTTCTCAGCTCTTTATTGGCTCTTAGTAAGTCAGCCAAAGATACAGCTTTACAAGGTGGGTATGAGTTAAGAGGCAAAAAGGGGCACGAGTTTTTTTGTCGAGTATATAACTTAGCGCGTGCTCCAGTAGTTCAAGACTTTACCATCTCAGCTTGACCTGAGCGTTGAAGGGTTGTTCGCTGAGAAGGGAGAGTAGGGGGTCAGCGCAGACAAACTTCAGTGTTAAAAGAGAGAGTACCGTAAAACGTTAACCAATCATAAGAGACGTAGGCAAATCCAATAAGCCAATCAAAACCAGACAATAAAATACTTGCATGTAGCTGCGTCAAGGGTGGGAAACGTGCGCTTGCATGTCTACACTGGCTTCAGGATTGCTCAGTTCTAATTGGTTGACAAATCAAAAACTGTGGTGACTGAAAACTACAGAAATGTAAGTTTACTAAAAAATACTTACTAAAAAATGCCTGTGACCGTTTTTAGGGATAGGGACATTGTTTGGGTCATTCATCTATTGTTTCGTTAGCTAATTAAACTACTCCTTCTGAGCCAGGGAGCATCGTGGCGCTCCTCAAAAACTCTACCTTTTCCTTCGCGGTCATAGTGATTCTTTCGTTATCTATTATTTATTAGTTTGCGACTTTCCAACCAAAGACTCTACACAGGGAAGCTTGTGTACACTAAAATCGGTAGCATTGAAGAAATCCGCTGGGTCAGACATTTTTACTTGGGAGAATTTAGCCGCATTGTGACCGCTCTCTTCTATGCCTCTGTTTCCATTGTATTTTTCAACACAAATGAATTTCAGTATTAATTTTTCTTCAGCTGGTTTTGTTGAAACCTCGTTGGAGCACATAAAACACGTGCATGTCCAGCTAAACATGAACTCACTGCAGCTTGAAAAAGGGCCTTCATGGAAAGAGAAGGTAGGAGAACATGCCCGTTGTCTCACGTTTTCCCGTACACTTTTTTTTCTGCTAACCTGCTAAAAAGACTAGGATTGAGTATTTATTCCTGGAACGCGGAATCAATCTTTCCGTGTTTTTTCCCAAACCGTTGAATTGACAAGTAAAGTTATGGAAGTTTTCCTCTTTGAATCGCAGTTAATCTCGGGTTTAAAACTTCTAAAACGTTTTCCTTGGTAATGATAATTCTCTGTAGGAAGATCCCTTGGTAACAGAACTAATGGACGCCATTCAACTTCTCAGAAACTTCATCCATTGTAGTCCAGCAGGCAAGGTAATCTGAGTTTTCTTTCTTATTTTTAAGGTTAATCTACCTAAACTACAAGTGAGCGTCCTTGAGCTTTTTCAAGTTCAGCTATTCTGCGGTGGAAAAATTACCAGAATGTTCTCCTTCTGAAAGAATCGTTAAACTTCTCCATAGAGTTCCTAGTATGAAACAAAAAGTTGACTGGAGATGCTTAGCTTTAATTTCAGCTCAGTTTTGTCGCAAAATTGTGGAACTCAATGTCAACTGGCCCCTACAGGGTCTTTATTTCTTTAAAGAGGATGGAAAGGATAACAGGAAATGCCCGTTAAGATACAAAGTTAAGGAAACATTTCATCCAGCTACTATGTAACCATCAGCTACTAAACATTTCATCCAGCTACTATCTAACCCCTAACCCTACCCCTCCCCTAACCTAACATTTTGCGCTAAGTAAGAAGTAAATGTTAGTGTTGGTTTAGGGGAGGGGTAGGTGGGCAGTTTCCCAGAAACGTATAACGGTCCTTTTTTTCTGTCCAGACTGCTTGTTTGGAGAGTGGTATTATTGATGTGCTGCACAAGTTATGGTCCTGGTGCACGGTGGAGCCGCGTCTACTTATCGAGGTGTTACGTATCTTATCCACACTGACAGCACAATTCCCCAAAGGTGCGTATTGAGTAAAACTAATGTCCCTAGTCGCAGTTTACTTTGCACTAACGTTGTTACAATACTGGAGAGTTTAGAAACAGCAAACGGCATACTTGACCACGTGACTATTTTTCCCGCCTTTTTTACGCTGGCCGTTTACAGCTTAAAGGTGAGGGCATAAAAAACGCGAGAGAAAATTTACTTCACTACTATCGTTTTCGGATACATTAATTATCGTGTGAGCTTTTTGTCGTTTTCTTGATGCTGATTTCCCTTTTTAAGTGAATACGCGTTTTTTCAATCACTCTCGCGATTATTCGACGTTCTAGTTGCCGTGGCCGTCGTGGCATCTTAAACTCCCTGCTATTTCTTTCGCAGCATCAGCATATATCGCTGGCAGCTCTGGCGTCCCAGGAAGCGTCAGCCGCACCGTACAAAGCGGGAGCACATTTTTGCACAGTCTTATCAAGCTGACCAATAAAACAAACAGCAAGCTTCAAAATTTCTCCAGCCCAGAACTGGACACTCATCTTGCTGTGTTAAGGGCCATGTTTAATCTGTTGAGTAACTTGGCCTTAAGTGCTGAATGCAGAGGAGTCATGTGGAAGGTAGGATGTTGGGCATATCATGTAAATATATTTACTTACACCGCATGACATGGCGCAGTTCCAATTAAAGACGCACACGCGCGCTTCTCTTTCTATGGACCTAAGTACTTGCTGGTATTTTTCCTTTGCGTGCTGCGTATATTAATTTTTTTGCTTTAATAGTAAAATAGTAATACAGTCAACACTCGCCTTGCTAACAGTTTTATTGGCTGAAAATTTGCTCCAACCAATCAGAAGCACTACCCATATATGGGCAGTGACGCGTCGTCAGTGTAGAATTCCTGCTGTTCCCCAGACGTCATTTCACGGGGAAAACAGTAGTGGCGCCGCAAAAATGTCGGCTGTTTTTATTTTCAGGCTAGTTCATTAACTAATGGCAAGAATGATTGCTTCATTTGCTGATTGAATAAAATTGTCTTGTTCAAACACCCTGCAGACAAACTTTCTCCAGCCCTTCTCCTCTTTGAAGCCTCTCACTAGTGGAACCCACCCCAAGCAGAGATCAGTGACCCGAATCGTGACCCTCTGTTGGCTCAGCTTACTGGTGAACGTAACATTCTTCACAGATGGGCAACAGGGTGTGGTCAAGACTCCTGGGGTAGTGGAGGTGCTTTTAGAACTGAGTGGAGCTCAGAACAAGCAGTTACAAGAGAAGGCCATACTTGTGCTAAGGAATTTGTGCTTTCATGGGGCCAGCAAACCTGTTCTTTTGGTGAACGGTAAGTGAAGACAGAAGACAAGTTGCAAACTACGGGAAAAAAATTACGTACAGTCTAGGCTTTTGTACCTCGTTCTCAAGGCGCTTTTCCACCCGCTTTCACTAAAATGCGCCCGGGACGATGATGAGACGGAAGAATCTGGTCCCTACTTTTAAATCCTCCGGACAAGCGAGAGTATTAAAGTACTAGCACTAGCCCGGAGGATTCTTTTTAAAGTTACTTAACAAACTCTGCCTTCAAGCGGTAGTAGAAACAACTTTAATCTAGTGACTCAAACATGAAACTTGTGTTGCACATTGCCTTTCTACCATGGCCCGTTGGGAGTTTGGTAAATTGTCGACATCTGAACAAAACTATGTTTTAATCACTTGATACAAGAGACGATTGTCTCAAAACAATATCCTTTGTGAGGTGAATGTCACACGTGCTGCACATATCATGACAATAAGGGTCTACGAAGTGGAAACTAATTTGTAACGGCGTGGAAGGGTGGAAAGTATTAGTTAACCGGTGGACCCCCATAACAAGAATTCAAAATTTGCCGTTAAATTAACCTTTCTTTTTCATGTTTGTTTTCAGAGAAACTTCTTTCTCTTCTCGTGGATTTTACCACGGACAGCTCCATTTATCTCAGAGCCTTGTGTTTGTCTGCTTTGTGCTCTCTGGTACACAACTGCCAAAAGGTAACTTTGCAATACTTTCTCGTGGTATACCTCGAAAATTCCTCGAGTGCTTCGCTGTAGTAGCAAAGTTTTGTACACATCATAAGTTCAGACGAAGTTCTCGTCTGTGCTCATGTTGTAATGCCGATGTTACTCAAGATGTTTCACTTTTTCTTAGTGGATTGTTTTGTCTTTTTTGTTTTGTTGCTTCCAGGCCAAAGTTTCATTGAAGAAGACAGGAATAGTAAAGAAACTTGAAGAAATAAAGTCGCGCACAGGTTTGTCACAGGGTAACATCTTAATTCGAGTCCGTAGTATAGTTATGCATGGCATATATTAACATAATTATAATAGGGACTTTAAGGCTATATTCACTCTACACCGTGTAGTGATAAGTGATTTGACATTGTTTTTATTGTTGTTTCAGGGGGTGAACAAGCGAGCATAGAAGAGAAATACAGCAAAATTTGCTATGATAGTGTAAATACTTTACAAAAAATGTTCTCCGAGCAAAGATGACACTGTACATATCAGTTATTTATATTTATTCGGTGTGTAAATAATTATGTACAGAGTGTTACGGTGTTTTCTCGTATGATCATCTGCCGTTTTCCCACATAATTGAAAAGGAAAATATATTTAAAATAGAGACTAGAAAGTGGTCAAAATGCACGATACAATAGTCAACTCCCTTTATTGCGGACACTGTAGGGACTTCGAGTCAGTGTCCTCATTAACGAGAGTCCGTAATAGCGGGAGTTTATTTCAGTCCAACGTCTGTAATTTGTTTTCGCCGGGGATTTAGCTGCTGTCCGTTTTATCAGGGTGTCCGTTATAGCGGGTTGTCCGCAAGGCGTGAGTTGACTGTAACGGGGTCTGACTGTAGTTCATTGTTCCATAAAACGTTAAAATCGGCAGTCTTTAAAGGTTTTTTAGGTGAGGGGAACTTGAAGTGTGACCGTAGTGTACGCATTTCAACTTTTTTAAAATAACATTGAGTTTCAACAAGGTCAAAAGAATTTCATGAACACTTTTAGAGGTACCTATATAGAGAATACCTGGACGGTGATCATTGTAAATAAATGTACATATTTATTGGAACGGTAACAATGTCTCCGTCGTCAATAGAGTGGATCACGTGCCCGTACCAATAGTCTAGATCTTATATCATAACTCCTCTGATTAGTTTATGGGGTGGAGCTAATATAAACCCACGTTAAGATGGCTGAACCTTCTCCAGTCCAGTTTGTTGGCTCTTAAGGTAAACATCACTTTACCCGCAAGATCTTTCTTAGAAATTCGTACACATAACGTCTTGAAGACGCGACCCTCCACGAGTAATGCTTCGGGTTGTCCTCTCTGATCTGACAAGATTTCACCAAAGCAGTTAACTCTTCCTACGCGTGACAGCCAAAAGCTTAAAAATCCGCTTCGTTGAAAAATGGTGACCATTCTACGTGGAACACTAGCTCATCCCCAGGACCTGGGGACAACAACTTGCACAGGACCAGCCTGTGATGTTGTCGAGACGGCCACAGGAAGGGCAGGGTATCTCACGTGTAAAGTCGGATAAGATGGTCTGCACCAGCAGTGAAGATCCAGGGCTGAGTTGGATGGAACTGGCAATCTAGTACGCCTGTAATAAGAATGACGTAACTTAAGTCGCCGAAACGTGGACTCCGGATTCCATGTACTGGATTCCGGACTCCTAGTCAGTGGAACTTGGATTCCGGATTACAATCGTTTGCAGGATTCTGGATTCCTAGAGGTGAATTCCGGAGTCTAAAACCCAGGATTTCGTATTCCGGAATCCAGATTACCTTACTTGGGGCGAGACAATTCTAAAGTTCGAAAATAATTCATGAACAGACAGCGAACGACTTCACTACTAGATATCGTGAGGAAATATCAGTAGTTGGTAAGGTCTGATAACATTTGAAAGAGTGTTTCTGGGGGAATCCAAATAAATTAACGACGGTTGAAAAACCCTCACTGCACTGCATTTTATCAACGAACTTCTCGGTGTTTTTATATCCTATTGGTTGAAGCACTCTTACTCAAGTTAGATTAGGCAGCCCGGAGCAAAAAAAAACAGTAGGGGACACTCTTTTGTCTGGAAGCCGTAAGAATACAAAACCAATTTACTTAACAATGTTTGCCACCCGCCGTAATAAGCCGTGATGAATACAAAGAAATCGCCCCAAAGTTTGATAAATATTCAACATACCTAATTCTCCCTGGACCTTGTGACCTTTAAGAACTTTGACAGGAACTATCAGTGGATTCTGCATCAAATCACTACAAAGAATAACACAACGTACAGAAGTTCAGTTTCCCTTAGGGGTGGGAGCCTCTCGATTTAGGGAGGAGTGGGAAGGGTTTGCCTACACTCCCTTGGCAGAACACTTCAGAAACTCTAGGAAGAATGGGTACAAGCTTTTGGTGCAGTGATTTCTGGGATCGTTTGGTGGACATGCCATATTTGTGATTGGTCGATCGTAGTCAAGGCAACCATTAACCAATCATATTGCACCGAAAGGATGTAGCCATTCCCCTTATAGTTTCTGGCGTGAGTAATGCAACTTACTTAAAGATTCTCCCATGACAAACGATAACCGTCCCGTCATCACTAGCGGATGCAAACAGAGGGTAGTGACGATGAAAAGTCACCTGACGTAACGCTTTCTTATGGCTCCTGAAATAGAAAAATGCAAGTACAGCTTAATTACAAGACTAAGGTACCTCGTATTTACGTTTACGGGCAAAAAAATACATAAAGAACGAATAAAATCTGTCTCGCTCCACTCGGTTCGTAGATTGCGCGCTTGCTCGACTCCCGCTCATTGCGAACAGATAACACGCGCTCCCCGGTCCAACTAAAAGAAAATAAGAGACTCTTCTCTTTCTTTTGTACCAGATCTAACTAGGTTTTTTTTTTCCTGTCCATTTCCCCTTCACTATTTTCACTGTTAGAATAACCACAGATTTTGCCTAAGCGTAATGCTGCTATCCTCGTGGCACCCCGGGGCATTACAGACAATCGTCTACAATTCTCGGGGGAATCCTCTTGTCTTCTTTTGCCACGTAACGCCGCTCTTAGCCGGGTTATAATTTTCGACTCTCCCACCTCCCCTTCGGCGACGCGTATCCCCCTCTCCGTTCTCTGTCTTATGACCCTCTGCCTTTGCAAAATCTCGCTTCCCATAACTTAGTTTCACGAAGGCAGTAAGTGGTTGTTCTGACAGTGAATAATGGTGTACTAACCTCAGTGTTTTGTAGGGTTTGGTCGACAAATCCATATCAAACCAGCATAATCGGCGATCGTAACTTCCTACGATCAAGTTGTCACCTATGGAAAAAGTTGACAGCAGAGATTTATCGTTAGTAATAAGCTGAGATCCTAAAACGCTACATCATTAGCCACCATTGTAGTCAAATGTGGCGTCATTGTGAAAATTGCATATTCAGACCCTGTTTACATGTGGGGGACCCCGGTTTAGTGGGGTAGGTTTCTTTTGTTTTGTGTCCGCCAGAGCGTGAAAACAAAAGAAACCAACCCCACTAGACCGGGGTCCCCCACTCCATGTAAACAGGGTCTCAGTTCGACTCTAGCACGACGTCTGAATTGAAGTCGTCCTTCCGTTGAACCAAATTACAGTTGAGTTCGACACGTACGGCAGAAGCGCGACTTTTTTATTTATCTTTCACGACCCCTTGTTACCTTTGGGATGAACAGCCATGCTGGAGATCCACTTCACGTTTGAAACGAGTTTCTTTGTTAGTTCTTGTTTAGTGAGATTGTAAACTCGGATAAAACGTTGGGTCTAAAAAACAAAAGCAAATCAGACGAGTGAATAAAAGAGACAAACTTCGGTGCCATTTGGGATAGACAGTGGAGCGCTTTTTTCCCCTAGAACTTGAGAAATTGGAAACAATGCTTAATATGCTAAATTTTGGAGCGAAAACAAAAAGTATTATGGTATTTTTGAAAAAGGCCATTTCGGAGTTCCAAAAACCTTCACTTTCGACCCAAGGCGAAGTGCAAAAATCTTTCTTGTGTTATTTGCGAGAGAAAAGAAAATCATTTGAAATTAGCCTCGTTTTGAAACAGAGGCTTGGGGCAAATCAGAAATGGCCGAGGCTTACTGGTTTTGTTGACCCATTGTTGATCACGTGACGATACTCAAGGGAGTATTATCTTTTGAAATAAGCCATCTTCATGGTGACGGAACATTCAATACCCAGAACCCCTCCGCATTTTGATTTGTTGATTGAATTAGGGTACGCTGGGGTTTACTAACATCAAATGAGAAAGCAAAAACGAAATGAATTCTGGCAGGTTTAGTAAAATAAAGTTGTCGTGAAAATGATCTTTGGTTGTATTCACGCTCGCTGCGCCCTTTATTTTACGCCAAAACAAACATTACGTGATTTATATCCCCTTTAAGCTGAATATGTAAGAAGAACTTTACTTACAGCTACGAAAAGGAATGGTCTGGTTGGGTGAAACAACACACGTTGAATGAGACCTTTGGCTTTCTTGAAAGGACACTAGTAAGTGAAAAAAAAAAGAAATCAAAGTTGAGAAAATGCAAACGCCATGAGAAAAGAAAGGCTGGATTAAGAATACCTGGCTTCGACGCTTTGTCATTTGATGGATAAACACGGATTTGTTGCCGCCTATGAGAAAAAACATACGTGAATGAAGCTTTGATTTGTTATTATCCATAAAAAAACAGGCATTCGAAAAAAATATACATGAACGAAGCTAAGCTATTACTTGACATGGCTGGCCAAAAACTAGTTAGCAAAGAACGTTTTTCCATCATCTCAGAAACAGAACTTTGCCTGTTATTGAGCTCAAATTTGATACCGTTTTCATTGATGGACACTGGACAAGGTTATAGAATAAAGATGTTTTACCTTGGGGTGTAACAGAGGCAAAATAATCTCCTTTTCCATGCCATGTTATCTGTGAAATCACCTGTCAAAAAGGGGAGTTTTTAATAGTAAGAAATCAAAATCGGAGAAAAGTGAACCGCAGTAGCGATACAAGCCGACACGATATGTGCAAACAACTTGCTATTCGGTTTGGTTTTCACTTCTGGTTAGATAACAAAGAGGCGCGGATCCCTCCCAAGAAACATAAAGCCAGGTAACGGGTAATTGTTTTCGAAACTGACTCGTGAAACATCTTTCTCCGTCTTTGTCATTCACTATTTTCACATTACCCATAATGCAACTTGTTTAACCCTCAAAATTTTGCATAACCATTGTTTTCAATTTCTTGTGGGCATTACAGTCGTCCCAAGAGAAAGCGAAAACAATGGCTAAGCAAAATTTTAGGGGGTAAACGAGGTTTATTATTAGCAATGTGCAAATAGGGAATTTTTGACTCAAGTAATTTCCTCAGCCACTCAGAATTTGGAACAAATGCACGTGGCCTATGACGGAAGCGGAAGAAATGTGTGCAAACAAATTGTTATTGGTCGGGAAAGAGGCGCAAAATTCATCAGCCAGGCAGAAAGCAAAGCGTGCAATCCCCCCTCGCGTGCAATCACAAGACACAACTGAAAACCACCCCGATGATACTTGCCTTGTTGTGTTTTATAACCAGGCGATATCCGTTCGTGTACTTCTCTTCACTTGCAACTGACCATTCCACACCGGATTCCTTCGACCCAGCTTTGAAGTGAAAATCACATAATTTTATTTTAAAGGTAAGTTTTAGATTTTTTTTAGTCAGAAAGCCAGTACGGTCAGGAATTAGACTGGCTTCTCAAAGAATAATCTTGCGGTATTTTGCTTCCAACCGCGTTTGACCTAGTTTGTAAGCTACTCCACTGCAGAGAAAGTTGGCAAAGTGCTACTATTTTTCTGAGCGTTCTCGCTAAATACCCATTTCACAAATACACTACAGATAGCTGGTGATCATGTCAAGCATTTTTTGTTGTTGTACCATACCTTCCCCTCGAGAAGCGTATGATTCAATGAGCTCATCTGTGGTAGCACATAAGAGTTTGTCACCAAGAAAATGATTCACTATTACAGCTCTCTGTTCCCTGCAAAACATAAACGCAGAATTCAGAGCCCATTTTCTTTTAATGAGCGCAACATGGTAAATTTCATACATTACAATTGCACCGACCTAAAAGGTTATCGGGAAATGATAACCACATATTCAAAGAGCCCTGAAAAAATAATCCAACAGCCCCTGTCTTGTTTGCAGTATCTCATTCTGGTTAACAGGGAAGCTCCTCCTTTAACAAGCAACACCCTAGGTGGAGGGTTAAGGACTGTAATGTCGGTCACTTGAAAACAGGCCCCAGTTGCTTAAAAGCTGGATAGAGCTATCCACGGGATAAATCACAATCCAGCAGATAAGTATTAGGGACAGCAACTGCGTTATCCAGGGGATAGAGGTTTATCCGGCGGATAGCGTTATCCACCTTTTGAGCAACCAGGACCTGCAGGTGAAGAAAATATGATGCGCCTTTATTTCCATATGTTTAAATCTGATTTTCTGGTCGTTTTCATTTTAAAAGTGATAGTCCTAGGCCGGAAATCCTAAACAAAAAGCTGATCCTTCGTTAAGTTTAACGAGACAAGTTGCTCTCTTGACACAAGTTTTCCGCCTATCATACCGTGTTCCCGTCAAGAACTGAAAGAAAGTACTTACACAACAACAGCCAAAAGAGTTAGCGATGGGTTTGGATTCCACGCCATGCTTAGTACAGCTCCATCACATTGCAAAGTCTTGAGACATCGACCAGTGCACACTTCCCAGAACTTCACTAACTTGTCGTCACCTCCTGCGGTAGAGGAATTGGAAACAATGTTTTAAGTGACAGTGAACTTATTTAAGGTTGCTTGCCCGAGCTGTGTAATGGTAAATACGTTAACGTTGGATTATATGAATGGAGTAAGAAAAACGAATTAAAAATATACATGTCAAATATGTATTTTTATAGTTTTTCGCGTGCAACCCAAAACGAGACCTTCACGGCTAAATATGACGGCGTTTTGCCCAGAACACCCTAAGTGAGACCAAAATCCGAAATTTACATCCTAAGCGAGACGACAAGCATCCCCACCCCTTTCATATGCGGAGTTCCTCCCCCCCAGGACTTTTTTACCCAAACCTAGCTGCGAATCACTACATACCTGATGCTATCCACTGTCCTGATGGGTCAACAACAACACACCTTACCACATCTGTGTGACCTTTGTATACCTATATACAAGGCAAATTCATATTACTTCCAATAGCTATGCTTCATTTTATGCCTGTTTCAAAAGCTTTCTTTAATAAGTTAACGCTCTTACAATGGACTCCGTTGAGGGGAATGGTTGTAAGTCCTTTGGTCTTGGTAGTTTAGGTAGGAGATCTTCAGGGTTTACTTGGACCTAAGGAAAAGAGAACAGTAGTGTACATTGGTGAGAAAAACAATATTTATTGTATTCTGGTGGCTTGATCATAATGTTCATTTAAGACTACAGTAAGTCATCACTTTAAAAAGGCAAATGTGATTGTGGCACTTAACATTGAAGTTTTATTACTCTGCGGTTTTTTGAGTCCCTGACTGTGTTGTAATCTAATGAGGAGAATTGGTTACAAAATAAGCCTAGGAGCAGGTGAATTCCTTTGTGCTTTTTAATCAAACTCACCCTCATTTTTCGTTGCCTTGGACAGAGGTAAAGGTCCAAGCATCGTTCAAATCTTTCTTGTATAAACTTGTTATAAGCTGGAACAAGACGAAGGCTGGAGTACCTATAATTCAATTAAAAAAACTTCATCAGAAAGAATGTTGGTGAAAATTGCTCTGCAAAGAGAAGTACAGCATACTGAGAAGAGAATATCTGATTAAAAAGTAGAGATAAAGGAAGCTTACTTTTTTGGTAAGAAATTCTGTGACCTGTCATCAGGATCCATGGCCTCCCAGGCTGCAATCTGAGTTAAAAGATAACAAGTCATGTAGTTATAAAGATGCTACAAACTTAGGAGTAGGTTCAGATGGTCTCTAAAAATCACTAGTTTTAATGCTCTTTAATTAAATGTCCATTACGTCTCAGTCAATAAAAAATATGGCATAGGACAAAAGGTTGTGATACTGTTTCCTACATTGTAATAATAATATATAATATTGGTGCAGAGCAAAGACAATAAAAATAATAAAATAAAATACTTTTTTAGTCTATTGTTCTGTTTACAACCTTGAGAAATTTTTTGAATTTTATCTCAAAATTTAACAATTCTTTGACCATCCTGTTAATGATTATCATGTCTAAAATCAGGGTGGCACTTCAATTATTTTTACCTCTTCTTCTGTTGGCAAATATTCTGGGGGAGGGTTGTAAGATTCCTCATGACCTTTAAAAAAAAAAGTTCAAATGAATTGAAATGGTTTATAACCTAAAAATTAAATTATTTTATCATTCTTCTGAATAATACAGGTTAAGAAGGTTTAATGTTATAAGGACCAATAATTGAAAGTAAAATAAATGGAACTCAGACTGCTGTATTGATCACTGTTTTTACAATCAAATGATCAAGTTCTGTTCTTGATAAGCATTTCAGTTATACCTGGCAGTTTCATCTTCGGTGCTGGTATGTGCATATTATGTCGTGGTTTGGTCTGCAAGATAAGAAATAGCAGGGCTTTCACTATTAGTGTTTGAATGCTTGTTATGTCTAAACTATATGTTAACTTAATCCTATCATATTTTTTTTCAAACAGCATGGCAAAGTTTGAAGTACATGTAACTGGCACATTACACTGAAACAACATTCCTGACAATTCTGCAGTTCCAGAAAATATCCAAACCCACCCCCAGAGGGTCCGTAGAAATTTCAATAAGGAGGGGTGCTGTAAATGACCAAAATCATTTAGAGAAAAAGAGGACCTACATTAGATTTTGCAGAGGGGTGGATGGATATTCACACCGATAAACCCTCTGTGGAGAGAGAAGGGGGATGGGGTACAAAATTTTTCCAGAACAACAAATTTGATGAGTTTAAAGGGTTAAAAAGGTAGTTCTCACATTTCCTTACCCAGGGCCTTAGCTAATAACTTAATTAAAAGATGACTTGCATGGCTCCCTACTCACTGAGCAAGTGAGCTTGAAAAGGAATACAAGCCCAGGTTGCAAGCAAGATAATCTACTCATCCTGGACAATCAGAGACAATTTCGTTTTGATTCCTGGCTTTACTGGAAGCCACAAACCTGGTCATCTTCTTTATCCCAGATCAGGTAATATCTTGGCTTGTCAGCCTTGTCATCTTTCTTTGGTTTTATCCAGCCATTTCTGATGGCTCTGACAATCTTCATGACCTATGTGATAAGAACATAACCATTGAACTTTATTCTTTTTAAAGCTTTAATATAAGTTAAAAAAGAATTATGTCAAAATTTAACGTACTGTAAATCTTTACTAAACCACAATCATGCAGCCACCAAGGTCTTCAGTCATTATTATTGCAAAAATAATATTTATTAGAAATTACAGAAGTTTAGGGGGTGCATTAATTTTAATAAAAAAAAAAACAAGAGGCCAGGGTAGTTACCAGTTTCTCTCAGTTTTCCCACCAAAAAAAATAGCTGGAAAAAAACAACAAGAAAAGTGGAGCAGATAGCACTCCCTCAAAATATCTTTATTTCTTCAGCAACATCAAATTCACAGAATAATGAGATTAGGATACACTCTCCTTTTGTAAAAATAACTAGTCAAATAGTTGATATCAGACTAATTTTCATTCAACCTAATTTCTCAGCTTCCTGTCTCTACACTCCAAAAGACAAATTAAGGAAATTTAGAAACAACCTAGATCAAAACATTTTCACCAATAACCAAATTTGACCAGTGACCTAAACACATTACCAATGGTAACGTTGTGAACCTCACGTCCTTGTTTCATTACTGTCAAGAGTGATGTATAAAATAAATGATTTGCTTACCCTCTTGTGCTCCCATTTAGATGGAATGTGCCGAGACTTTGGCTCAGGTGCATCACTCAAGGGATGTAACATCTTTTCACCAGTAAAGAAATCCACATAGGGCTGATTGTGAAAGAAAATAAAGTACGGGGATCTGTCAGTTTACCTACCATGTATAATAACATGCAGAATGCCATTAATTTAACCTAATCTATTTAAACATGAGTAAAACTTGATAGACATGACAGTCTATGTGTTAATCCTTGTAAAATAAACAGGGAGTGCATTTCATAAATCAATAACAGTTCACACACACACACATACATGTATTCAAAGTGGACAGACTGCAAATTATAATAGCTGCTAAAAAGTATATCTATAGTGTCCTAACTGTTCCTCAGTAGGATGCCTAGAATGCATGCAATTCCACAATTGGTTTTGGCTCCATTAAATCCTTTTCCAATTGCAGAACATTTTAGGAGGGGCCACCCACAATGTGAGCACAGTCACGGACAACACATATAAGTGAGGAAAATAACGCAAAGTAAAATTACGACATTATTTAACAAACTAAATGCAGCTGTCAATTAAATAAATAAATAATGCACACTCACAAAATAAAACTGTGCACGCATAAGTACCAAGATACAACTGAAATACAAATCTATAAGTAACAATTAAATAAGGGATGTAAGGATACCATGGTGCAATTCAAGCCTAGATTGCTAATCACATCTCCCGCAGGGCTGCACCATACTTCTCGACGATAAGACCATGGTGATTGAAGAATTTATTACATGATTTCTGAAGAAGATTGGTTTCAAAGCCTTGTTGTCTGAGATGTAATGAAAGTCTGCAGAGTCTATTTATGAAGTCAACTTTGTATCATAAATTTTCGCATTGAGACTTTCAGCTGTGGGTGGTATGTGAAATTAGTTAACCAAATGTTGATCACCAGGAGAAGCATTCTTTTGGAACATTCTGAAATGTTTTCCAAGTTCATTATTTTGTTTAAAATTTAGTAAAACTGGTCCTCTCATCATTGAAGATGGAATGACAGTAAAGGCCCCAAGAATGAAGAATCTCGTAACTTTAGTTACCTCGCTAAATAACTTTTTTGGTAAAGCTTTACCTCATATGGATCATATCCTGCATTGGGGAACTGGGAACCTTGAAGTCTGTTGATTATATCCAGCTCCTCATTGGACAGAACAACTTCTTTCATGGTTGCCTTGTCTCGCACTGTCCTCCTGTTAAAGCAAATTAATTACCAAACATCTTTTAAAAAACTTCTACCGTCATATATCTCTCATAAAAATTAATACATGTATAAATTGCAAAAGATGCATTCTTCACATGAATGTACATAATATTTCTCAGCTTTGTCTTGCAAAATGCAGTTCACAAACAAAATAATGCTTCTTGGGCAATCAGCTGTGCAATTTGTTAACACACTGAAAACACTAATTTTTCATTATGATCTTACCAGTAATTGGGATCATCCATTTTGGATAAAAATTCATCCAGCTGAAAAAAAAAATTATGTCTAACCTCTCAATAAATTATACTGTCAGAGAGTTCTCAACGGCACACTGTAGCAAAATGCATTAACTAAGTCTGCACTAAAATGCTAGTAAGAGACACCTGTTAAATTAGTTGATTATTCAGCATTTTTAACAGGAGAATTTTGTTGCAAACAACACTGTCATTACCTTTTGAAAAAGTCAACTCCACAAAGAAGAAGTTGCAGGTTGCAAAATGAACGAGGCATTCTTTGATTTATGTGGTCTTTAAGGCGTCACTAAATAAGTTTGTGGAATTTATCCTTTTTCCATGCCAACATTAATTTTCTTGCCCTTAGAGTCCCTTACTACCTTCTACAAGCAACTGTATGATGGAAGTCCTTTTAATTAAATGACTACTATACAAGACACTGATAATGCTACCCACCTCATCTGCAGTAGCTGGTTTTAGAATTCTTTTTCCATCTAAGTCATATCCTATATGTGGGTACTCGTTATACCATTCCACAGGGATGTTTCCTATTGTGTTCCGAGCATCCTGTTATAAAAGTAGTTGGCATGAGAAATTTAAATAGCCATCTATAAACAAAGATAATTACTTCTTATTTCATTCCTATTTCCTGAATAAGGTAATAATAATAATATCTACAACTACATGTTATACCTCTTCATCAGATGTATTGTCTTCTTCCAAGTTCATGGCTGATTTCTTAGCAAATTTCTCTCCTTGATTGTTATTCTTTTCCATGTTGTCTTCACCAGTCTCTTCATTCTGATCTCCTCGTTCCTCTCCACTTTCACTTGGGGACTCACTGCCACTTTCTTCCTCTTCGTCCTGAACAGAGAAATATTCAGCTTACAAAAAAATAAACTAAAAGGAACATGCTATAATTTTTCTGTTTTTCCCCACCTCTCACTTACTGAGTTAAGCTATGATGCTGTTAGCCTACATGTTCCATACCCTCCACTTTCGCCCTATAGGGAAGGGGGGGATGGTACAGTTACACATGGGCTAAGATGTTGCTTGCTGTTCAGACTACACTGTGTAGTTCAAACTGTTGATTGTAATCTGTCTCTGTCATTATAATACAGGCCAGTTTATCATTAATCAAATTTTCTGTCAGTTTACTGCTGTCATTTTGTTTGTTATCTTGCTCGACTCATGAGTCTTGTATTACATGATACTTATGACTGGTAATTCCTGGCAATTCAGTAATGTTCATTCTGGTAGAGTAATTTTAAAATTAGAAAGTCAGGTCAAAGACTGACAAACATACTGATTCTTGCTCATCCAGCTCATCATCTTCAGAAGTTTCTGGCTCACTCTCCAGTCCAGAAAATTCACTCTCCTCACTGTCAGATGAATCTGCATCTTCTTTGCTGTCGTGATGATTTTTGTCAAAGTAAAATAGATTCTCATCAACCTGCAATGGAAACATAGTTGCAAATCTGAGGTCACTGCATGTTTATACCTATATACAGCAATACAGCTGACACTATAAGCTTAACCCTTTGGCATCAGGCAATTTTTAGGGAAAAAAAACTGCACTTTGGACCAAATCCTCTTTTTTGAACCGTGTATTGGCTAGTTAGCACAGGAATGGCTGAAAAAGAGATTTCTATCACTAAGAAGGACAAAAATTCCTGCTAATTGGATGTAATTAAGCACCTTTTTTGTATTTCATGCATGCGTATAAGCCAAAATTTGGACTTGTTTTTTTTTGTTTTTGTTTTTACTATTTCAATTGGTTTTCTTGCTCTCTTCTTTTTCTCTTTGCCTATCTTTTTATAGCCAGTTTTGTTACCCACTTACAGATTTAATCTGCAAAGAGTAGTAGATAAATAGAATTTTTAGTGGTGGGGCAGTGGCAGATCCAGACCTGACCTTCAGATGGGGGTGGGGGGGCAGTCTCAAAAAAACTTTTTTGGACCCTTTGGACCTCAGTTAATTTGGTCTAAAAATAAGGGCCCCCTGGGGAGCTCCCCTGGATCCGCCACTGGATTTTTCCCCCAGATGTTGCTTGTTTTTTTTTTTGTCTGTAAACTCTGTCAGGATTGGTTAAAATTTGCTAAATGCGCTACCAATCAAAAAGATCTATTCTCGCTGATTTTGCTAATTACCATCTTAATAGCTTAAATGGAAAGCTTAATGGGTCCAGGAAGAATAATGTGCACGGGTCCATATAGACCAAAAACGATCAAAGAGGACGTCAAAAGAGTTAAGCTTATAGTGAAGACGACCTATAACCTTTCTACTTCATAAATGTTATGAACTAAAACCTGCCTCTAAGGGAGACTTCTCTTCTTGAACAACCTTATCAGAGCTACGTTTAGGCATTCTGTGGACTAGATTTTTCTCAAAAAGCGAAATCAGCAATTCCTCTTGCAGTTAAGTGAATATTCCACCATAACAGTCCGGCCGCCATGTGCAGTTTCTCCAATTTCTCGTTACCACTCCTTCAACCGAGAAAGTAATATTGTACACTATATGACTTAATATATGACGTCTTTCTTGACAATTTCGAGTCCGCTGGCAACTAACTTGTTCACAGTCCAGTTGCGGCACGAGTCACGGTGGACACGAGACTTATTGGTGAATTTTTCGTGCTTTAAGTGAAAAATGCAAGGCGTTCTGATCTTTCTGCTCCTCGTAGCTGGGCTTAACTTATGTCAAGCAAATGTAGTCGATCTAACGAATGATAATTTTGACTCGGTAAGTATCGATTCACGATAAAAGTTCTGCACTCGTGTGCCGCGCGGTTCTCATTATCCATTCAAGCGCTGTCAAACGGTGATTGGACAAAGTATTACACGCTCTTTTTCTTCTTTTTTTCAGCATAAGCGATTAAGTTTAGATAAAATTTTTTCTCTCTAATTTTCCTGCTACAAGTAATTTCGTTCCTATGCAAGCTTCACGATCACTAAAAATGCCATTTTATTTTAGAGTGTCCAAAGTTTTAATCTTGTCAATCACCTCTTGTTTCTCTCTCCAGGTAGTAAATGGTGATAAATTTGCTTTTGTTGAATTCTATGCACCTTGTAAGTACCAGGATGATATTTAAAAAATTTGTAAAAATGACCTTCAGGTTCATACTTAGAAATCACTACACCAAAAATTGATAAGCTTATCTTTTTGTCCCTTTAAAAAAACATACGTTGTGGTTCAAATTGTATCTTTGGTTTGAATTTTTCAAACCAGTTAAAATTTTTCAAACTGGTTTGAATTTTTAAACCAGTTCTTTTATCAAATGTCTGAAAAAGGGCCTTTTCTTTTTTAGGGTGTGGTTGAAAAATAGGGGCTAGGTTTTTGGGGGGTTCTTAAAAAGAATATTAGTACTTATCAGAAAATTTCATTTTAACAGTTCTTTTGCATCTCTCCAACCACCCCTTCCTCCTTGTTCTGTCATTTCCCTCCTATACCTAGGTCTTCCTAACCCCTCTTCACTATTTCTTACCTAACCCTCCTCCCGCCATATTATAATAATAATAAGAAGAAGAACATTTTTATAGCGCCTATCCAGTAATGATTTAGGCACTTAAGAAAGTGAAAAAACTAGAATTAAAATAAATATTGATTAAAATAAAACACATATAAAATCAAATAAATCTTCCTAATGACTAAAATAGTAGTTCTTAAAAAGGTAGGTTTTAACTTTTGCTTAAATAGACTTCTCGCATGAGCGTATATTTGATGTCAGGTAGTTTGTTCCAAAGCTTGGGAGCTGAAACAGCAAATGCTCTAGATCCATAGGTCTTAAGGTTAAAGCTAACAGGATTCAGACTGAGTGTAGACGGTAAGTAGCAGGTTATTAGGTCTTGAATGTAGGTTGGAGATTGCTGATGCAGAGCCTTGAAGGTAAGTAGTAGAATCTTGAATTGAATTCCTTCAGAAACAGGTAGTCAGTGAAGATCGAAGAGGATGGGAGTGATCACACTTCCTAGAGCGTGTAAGCAGTGTGGCAGCTGCATTCTGCACCGATTGAAGCTTTTTGATGACATTTTTAGAGGCATGATATGACGATGATGATGATTATATAGTAGAGAATTGCAGTGATCGAGTTTGCAAGTTACAAAGGCGTGAATAAGAATCTCAGTAGTTTGCATTGATAATTATTCCCTTATGCAGGAAATGGTGTGAAGATGATAAAAGGCAGATTTACAAACATTGTTGACATGGGGAAGAATAGACATGCACTGTTCCTAACCTTACATGAAAACTAACCATTTGAAATAAATGATCAACCCTAATCACTAAAATAAGCGCTCAGCCTTAATCACTGAAACTGTGCTGTTGCCATAACCTTACATGAGAGCTAACCATTTGAAATAAACGCTTAACCCTAATCGCTAAAATGAATGTTTACTAAAATGTGAGACCTTGATGTCACAAGTTTATTTTACACAGTATTTTACAGGGAGAGGTACAAATAAATGAGAACAAGTTATGTGTTTAAAAATTTCTAACCAGGTTGAAAATTTCAAACCAGTTTGAAAAATTTAAACTGGTTTAAAAAAGTTCAAACCAAAGATTAAACTTGAACCACAACACATATTTCCTCAAGACTTTGCAGTGGTCCAATAACCAGTGTTCTTTATTCTCGCCATGATCCTCACAATTTTCCGTCTCACAATCTCAAAGTCTTTTTTTAACAGATGACCTATTCCTGAGCATGCATATGAAATTGAAGGACACTGGTGCCTAACATACCTTTTGGAAGATAGTTGGTTCAAAGAAAATTTACACAGTCACAATATCGATCCCCCTTTCTCTCCTTCCGTACCCCCAAACCCATTGTTTGAAAGGCTTAAAAACAATAAAACATTCCAAGAGGCAAATGCGACAGCTATAATGATATGCATATGTTGCGATGAATCCAATCCCTTTACTTCAGGGTGATGTCCTATTAATTTATTATTATTATTATTATTATTATTATTATTATTGTTATTATTATTATTATTATTATTGTTATTATTATTTTCTTTTTTTTGCAGGGTGTGGTCATTGCAAGGCTCTTGCACCCACTTATGAACAACTGGGAGAAGCATTTGCCAAAGCTGATGATGTAATTATTGCCAAAGTTGATGCTGATGGTGATAAGACACTTGGTTCTAGATTTGGGGTCTCTGGTTTTCCCACGCTTAAGTATTTTCCAAAAGGAAGTACATCTGCAGAAGAGTAAGTTGCTCATTCTGTTAATACTTTTGAATATGGGTTTAAAATTGTACACATTGATTAAAATGTTAAACTAAATGTTAACTACCTTAACCTGACAACACACCACTAGCAAAATTCACACCTTGGGGAGGAGGGAAGGGGGTTGTGACCTCAGTAGTATCCACAAGTTGTGGTTCAATTTTATCCTTGGTGAAAATTTTATTTCCCTTTGTTTTTGGGTATGGTAATGTATGATAATGAATATAAAACAAAGGGAAATAAAATTTAAACCAAGGATAAAACTGAACCACTGCATAAATATAGGTATATTATACAACTATCCTCCGAAGGGGAGGTTAATCCTGGTGGATATATACTGAGATGCAAAGCATTGAGGTATGTATCTGGCACTGTTCACCGACCCCAAGGGAGATAGTGTTTTAGTATTTACCAAATCAGTTGGATAAAAATGAAAAAAAGTAACTTTTCTGTAAATAAAAAACGTCACTTAGTAGGAAGTTTGTTTACAATTTATGAACATATTTTCGGGGATTTTGTCAAGTGCATCTTTACAATTTTGTTGCAATTTATTCAGTAAGAAAATAATTTTCTACCTACTAGTAAACACTGACAAGCTGAAGTGCATTGCTTTCTTGGTATTTGTTTGTATTACTGCTTCATTTATCGTTCAAATTTCATCCTCTGAAAATTTCTCAAAACAAGACGCCATCTTGGCTTCAGTCGCAAAACAGTGAATAGTGAAGGATAATCTGAGTTACGGTAGCCAATCAAAACAAGCAAAAATATTTTATTGCTATTCACTGATTTGGTAAATACTAAATATATATATTTTCTCAGAGGAGAAATTAAGATACTTACCATGAGGGCTAGAAAAAAAATAAACTTAGCTAAGTTTTTTTTGTAGTTGATAGTCACTGTCTCTTTGCATTGGTTACAGATATAGTGGTGGACGGGACATCAAAGATCTAGTGTCATTTATTGAAAGCAAATCTGGTAAGAGCTCTGTTATAGATACAGCTTTACATTGTACATTATGAAAGAAATCTCTTTTTTGTGTGCTAAAATTTGTATGCTAATTGTATTTTAATTTACTTTGCATGATTTAGAATAGAATAGAATGCTTTATTGAAATACCTCACTCGTAGTATCGACTGAATTGCTAAGGTTTACCGTATCTAAAAAAGGTTTATGAAACATAATTACAAAATCCTTACAAACTAGCCATATCAAGTCCTGTACAAACATATAAAATCTTAGACTAAATATGAATTTTTAAAAAATACTTGCGCATTTGTCAATAAAGGTATCACAGCACCTGTTGGTCTTGCATGGCTTTATACAGTATGATCTAGAGTTCCTGAGGTCCTTAGAGGGTCCTTCAATGAATGGAACGAGAGGGTGCAAAACATCAAGCGGATTAAAACAATTTTGTTACAGTGTGACGACTTCAACCGGGGCCACCTAAGAACTTTCAGCCAATCAGAAACCGCTCCTTTAACAAAGAATTGAGCAAGAACCCTTGTAGAAATTCATTACATTTAAAGTATACTTTATATAGGTGATAATAAGACATCATCAGAAACTGTCCTTTATTTCGATTGGTTAGTTTCGATCCTAAATGCTTTCACTATATATAGAATGGTGTGTCGTACACTTACTCATCTGTCTTGTGAGGCTGCATTTTACACTTATATATTGAAGTGCTGGCTATACATATTGCTTGGTAACAGGTGTAAAAATACACACTTTATTATTATTAACAATCTACATTTACATAAAGTCCATTTCCACCCACAAATAGCAGGTGCTAGTCGAGGCGGGCGGAGATAATAGGTACAGCAGTCTTGTATCAGTCTTGTATCTATGGGGAAAATTTGAGGCAGTCTAGCTACAAGCCATTGTTTGAAAATATCGCACTGTTTCCTTTACTGCTGAATTCTCTTATCCCTGCAACTAGAAGTGATCATTCTAGATCTGGGACCAGAAAAGCTTCCTTTAAAAGAAACTCTAACCTTGCGATCATCAAGGAAAAAAAAAACAATGGCTGGAAACTATTTTTATCAAGAAGACACAGAGTAATCTCAATTTCCTTTTTGGCCGAATGAGAATTCAGACCTTATAGGCCTATCACGTAATTGAAAGATAGCTCTTATAATTACTCCTAGACTTCTCGCTTGCTGTAAAAAAGCACTTTTTTCTTGTGCATCCCTGGAGAAATGTTCTAGCAACAAGAGAAACAAAAAAATGAGCGAGGTGCTCGTTCACAGGATGTAGCATGGTCAGTGCAGTGTTTCATGACATTTCATTGGCGTTCTGTATTTCTTTAAACTTGCCTCCGGTTCTTAGCTGCACAGAAATGATTTGGACTTTTCCTTTCAAGCAGAGAATGCACATTAACAGGTAAAAAATTTAAATTTGATGATGAGAAAAAAAGAAAACAAGATTCTTTGGTCTCTGATTGGCTCATGCTAGAAGTAAGCCATTCTAAACGGCAAAGAATTTAGGATCGCAACTAACCAATCGAAAAATAGGACAGTTCTCTATGAGATCTGCATGCCCAATTCTTTGTTAAAGGAGCAGTTTCTGATTGGCTGAAAGTTCTTTGGTGGCCCTGGTTGAAGTCGTCACACTGTAAACATTTTTTTACACAGCTTTGTCCTTCTTTGCTCTAATGTAACAAGGCCTTAATGTGACAGGGAACCTAAGTAGTGCACTTTGTAAGCAAAAATTAACCTCAGAGCCTGTTTCTGTTTATGTCTTCCTTTATTTAGGAGCACGAGCTAATAAGGCAGTATTTAAGACTGCTGTAGAAGACCTGGATTCCACAAACTTTGACTCAGTTGCCTTGGATAAGACTAAAGATGTCTTGGTTGAGTTCTATGCCCCATGTAAGTACATTCTATTGACCACTACAGTTAACTCTTTTACTCCAATATTAGTGGAAAAAAAATCATTAAACCCATCTTTCGCTTCTGAACTGCCCATAACTGGCCGTAACTGCCCGTACAGGTCCACTTCCCTTCTAATGCCTATGACGTCATCAGTCTTGTGCAGGGTGAAAAGATCTTTCAAACCATACCAGAATGAGTACGATTAAGTCAAGGAGGCAAAAAATGTAAAAAACCAAGTGATGTTGACCTGAAAATTCCCATGAAAATCTTATTCCACTGCCCACCTAACTTTCCTTCCATCTCATCGTAAGGTCCTTAAAGCTTTCCCAGAAACTTTTCCCACCAAAATGAAGCCTACTTAATGCCCAGCAAAAGAAAAAAAAATGAGGCAAGAAAAGCAAAAGAAAAACTACCTTGAAATTTTGCTCTCGGCACATGCCCAAACTACACAAGCTAATACTTTAACTGGATCACAAGTCGCGAAGTGTACAACCTGTAAATGGGTCTTTGGTAAGTTTTAGCTCTTTCTAGCCAGACCTCATCTCACATCACCTATCCTCTTTGTGCCTGGTGGCAGGTGATTCCATTTGAATACTAGCACCACAGGATTGACCAATAATTTATTATTAATAATCTTGCCATAACATGGTCAAGATGTGAAAGAGTTAAGGAGGTTTGGATATCAGATAATAATCACCATAAAATGTTCAGCACTGTAGCTGAGAATTTCTCCAAAGAATTAGTTTTAGTTGACATGCTATATCAACCAGTCGACACAGTGTTAAATCAGAAAATTATGTATCTCAAAATCAGGGGGAAAATTGTGGTTGTACTTCATTTTCAAACCCAGTTCTACTGTTTGGATATTGGATGGAACAGTAAAGCTGCATTTAAATATACACTGTGTTAGTGCATGTGCTTTTTGTACAAAGTGGTGGAGAAAGCTGAGTTGTAGAGATGCTTGACCTAACATTGTGTGGTCAGGTACAGAAATTTGTTCTAAGGCCCTGTCCAGATGTATCCATTTTTGTTTGAAAATGGATACTTTTTTCTCCAGTTTGGCCTACCGGTGAAAACAGTCACAGAAAACGCCGGCATTTCATTTATGTGTAGACAGACGAAAAACAGAGGTTTTCAAATATGATGATGTCATACATCAAAAATGCATCATTAAAAGACATCATTAAAAATACATCATAGCATGATGCATGCTCAATAAGGGATGCTATTGTAATTCCATTATTTCAGCATTTTAGTATTGATGGGGAAAAAACTATTAGAGTACGCTACATGTGGATGCATATTTTTTGAAAATGGAGAAAAAATCCGGATACATGCTGGACAGGGCCAACATGTCGGTTCTGCTTTTAGGGTGTGGTCACTGCAAGAGGCTTGCCCCTGTGTATGATGAGGTTGGGAAAGCATTTAAGAATGAACCAAATGTAAGTTTAACATAATTCCTGAGTACATAACCAAAAGCCAAGGGCCTGGAGAATGTCCTAATACAAATAATTAAAAAATTGGATTAGGCTGAGTATCATCTGGAGATCAAGGAGGGTGTTAATCGGCCTTGGCAGATAACCCCCTTCAGAGATCTCCATCATTCTTCAAACGATAAGAAAGCCGAATTCAATAATTGTTTTATTCCTCATTCAAGAATAATAATTCCTAGCCTGAATTTCAGACGATTACTTTTGGTCAGTTTTACTCCCTAGGTAACGTTTGAATCGACTGGCTGTTAATGCCGTCCAGTGATGTCACTACTCCTTTGCTTCAATTCATGCAAAAATAAAACACAACTGGCAAACAAAGAAATATCATCTGGAAATGTCTACATGATACAGAATTGTGTTACTGCTTTTGATTGTAATTATTCATGTTTAATGTTCAAACTGTTAACTGCATGCAGTACTCTGAACGATTCTGTTGTAATTCAATAATCAGAGTCGATCACAGTCATGCAATGAAATAAGAACACACACGGAACACTTCAAAAACACAACAATTTGCTGTAATTGAAAAAAGCTATTTGGTCCTTACTGAAGGAGAAAGAAAACAAGAAAAAAAAGCTTACGGAATCTTTAAACTTGAAGTGGAAATGAAAAGAAGGTCAAATTATTACTTAAATCTCAGAAAACCTCACTTAAACAAAATCAATGCGAAAACCACAAAGCCACTCTAAATGAAAAACTTACCGACTCTTCACCATGATTCTTCATTTGTAGTTCAATTTAGCAATTCATAGTTTTGAAGACAAGGATAATAATATTTAGTATATACTAAAACAGTGGATAGTGTTTTTCGCGCGCTCTGATTGGCTACTCAATCAGTGAATATCCTGCACTATTCACTGATTCACCTCCAGTTCCTCCGAGCGAGCGACGCCAAACTCGCGTAGGTTGCGAGCAAAATGCTTTCCCGGTTTGCTGCCGTAACAAACTAAGAAATTTCACAACTAATCAAGCAAGCTATTTCCGAAATACATGAAGAAGGTGACGAAGTTCGATTTGGAAGTTTTAACAGGTAAAGCTTTGTCTTTTTTATTTCTATAGTTATCGATAAAACCGGTGAAAAAGTTGTTTGTTTACAAATGCAAATTAAGCTTAAGTCTTGCGTTACTTTATTTAGTTGATTTGTTCATAAATAAGCTTAAAACTAAATTTAATAATCTTTTTTACAGAATTATTTTAAATACAAACAGAATTCACAACTCCTTTTGAAGAAACTTCCCCGCAAGAGCTAAACAAACGCCTCTAAAAGTTTTATTTATCGCTAAGAAAAAGCGACGACCGCGGCCGTTCGGTCATCGCGCGCCAAAATTGTAATCGTTGGCAACAGTAAATGAGTTAAAAATCATCATTTTGTGCTCAATTATCTCACTGTTTTAGTATATACTAAAACAATTATTCACCTCAGTGTCGGTGGCTAGTATTGGATATTTACCTCGCCGCTTCGCGGCCTCGGTAAATATCCAATACTAGCCACCTCGACTTCGGTGAATAATTGTTATTTATTTTGCTGTTTATGATAAAGATTGTCAAAAACTTATAACTCCACGCAGGCATGCCAGGCATACAATCCACTGAATATCAAACAACAATTCCCACTAAAATTTCTCATAATTATACATAATTATGCGAATGTTTGGACAATCAAAATCACTACCTGGTTTTCGGTTAGTGATGTCACTGGACGGCATAAACGGCCGGTCGATTCAGACATTGCTGAGGGAGTAAAAATGACTCAAAGTAATTGTCTGAAATTTAGGCTAAATAATTCCTACTTTTAAAAAGAAGCTAAAATGTGCTTACCTCCATTGATGTTAAGTTCATCTTCAATTGTCTGTTTATCAGCAAGTTTAGGAGATTAAGGGTTGTTCAGTACTAAAAATATTCTCCAAATAGCGGATTTCGTCCGTCGAGTTGTCTTCTTACTGTTCTTGCTATGTTTTTAGCCAACAGTTCACCTTTTTCTTCCTCATGAAACAAGTGAAATGTTCCACCATTTTGTTCTCACTATCCAAACAACTCAACCTCGTCCCCAGGTCTTCTCAGTTAAATTAATGTTCAATAATCTCGCAATTTTGCTGCACAAAAGACCTCATTTTTCACATCTTGCAAAATTCTTCCAAATTTGGTCGACAGTACCTGGTTATGATGAATTATGTGTGGGACTTTAGCCATTATCAGAAATGGAGAAATTTTTTGAATAAATAATTATGATGGTTTGTTGTGTCAAGAACCTACTGGAGATGGACGTGTACAAAATAAATTCACTGGGCTTCTGCCATATGCCTGTCATAAATTTTTATGTGCTTATGTAGGGCTGTCACTAAGGGCCAGGAGCCATGGATTGTCCCCTGCTACTACAAGCACGACCCATGCTACTTTCATTAGAAACAAAAGGAAAATAGAACCAATTCAATCAGCCTTGAATCGGAAAAAAAAAACAGAAAAAAAGAGAAGAAGAGGCAGCTAGATGTTGTTCAGGAACTGCATTCAGTGCAACTAACCGACCGTGCTACGGTGGCAAATGTTAGTTTCAATTTTGCGAAGAAAGGATTATAACTCCATCGTTATTCATATCTAATTTGAAATTCCCGCTCTGACGATTTTGCTTAACAAAGAACTTAATCGATTTCTGTTGTTTGCGATTCTAACAAAAAAATGCAACAAATGACGGTTTTTTTGCATACGTTTTTTCTTGCAAAATAAGCAGAAACTGGGAAAAAAACTGCAGGGCAATGTTTCCCAAAGAATCAGAGGCCACATGCAAAAATTCAGCTGATTTGGAAGGACAAAAACACCCAAACTGTCACTTAACATTAGGTGAATCCAAGCCCTTCATTAATTATTTATTAATTTTATTCAATTACCCACTTACAGTGTACTGTTAGTAATATTGCATATAACTAGCAACTTGAGATCTTTTTTGTACTGACAGCCATGGTTTATATATAGTTTGTTTAAGTTGATGAGAGACATCATTCACACTACAGAAAAGATTGGTTCTTAACATTTTGTAGCAATCAAGAAGTTAAAGGAATTTGTAAATTCTACAGTTACACCAGTGTCATTATTATGCATTATGGTTCCAGTCTGGTGTATGTACTCCCTTCATTGTAAGCTTGACTTGCCTGTGGTCATAGATTTTATGTACTTGACAATGATTTTACTGTTAGTAAAACTTTTTTTCCATTTTGTTTATTTTCAGTGTGTTGTGGCCAAAGTAGATGCAGATGCAGAAAAGGATTTAGGATCAAAGTAGGACATTTATCCCAAAACTACATCACAATATTAATCAGAATCAACAACTGTTTACTTTTGGTCAGTTTTACTCCCTAGGTAACGTTTGAATCGACTGGCTGTTAATGCCGTCCAGTGATGTCACTACTCCTTTGCTTCAATTCATGCAAAAATAAAACACAACTGGCAAACAAAGAAATATCATCTGGAAATGTCTACATGATACAGAATTGTGTTACTGCTTTTGATTGTAATTATTCATGTTTAATGTTCAAACTGTTAACTGCATGCAGTACTCTGAACGATTCTGTTGTAATTCAATAATCAGAGTCGATCACAGTCATGCAATGAAATAAGAACACACACGGAACACTTCAAAAACACAACAATTTGCTGTAATTGAAAAAAGCTATTTGGTCCTTACTGAAGGAGAAAGAAAACAAGAAAAAAAAGCTTACGGAATCTTTAAACTTGAAGTGGAAATGAAAAGAAGGTCAAATTATTACTTAAATCTCAGAAAACCTCACTTAAACAAAATCAATGCGAAAACCACAAAGCCACTCTAAATGAAAAACTTACCGACTCTTCACCATGATTCTTCATTTGTAGTTCAATTTAGCAATTCATAGTTTTGAAGACAAGGATAATAATATTTATTTTGCTGTTTACGATAAAGATTGTCAAAAACTTTTAACTCCACGCAGGCATGCCAGGCATACAATCCACTGAATATCAAACAACAATTCCCACTAACATTTCTCATAATTATACATAATTATGCGAATGTTTGGACAATCAAAATCACTACCTGGTTTTCGGTTAGTGATGTCACTGGACGGCATAAACGGCCGGTCGATTCATTGCTGAGGGAGTAAAAACGACTCAAAGTAATTGTCTGAAATTTAGGCTAAATAATTCCTACTTTTAAAAAGAAGCTAAAATGTGCTTACCTCCATTGATGTTAAGTTCATCTTCAATTGCCTGTTTATCAGCAAGTTTAGGAGATTAAGGGTTGTTCAGTACTAAAAATATTCTCCAAATAGCGGATTTCGTCCGTCAAGTTGTCTTCTTACTGTTCTTGCTATGTTTTTAGCCAACAGTTCACCTTTTTCTTCCTCATGAAACAAGTGAAATGTTCCACCATTTTGTTCTCACTATCCAAACAACTCAACCTCGTCCCCAGGTCTTCTCAGTTAAATGTTCAATAATCTCGCAATTTTGCCGCACAAAAGACCTCATTTTTCACATCTTGCAAAATTCTTCCAAATTTGGTCGACAGTACCTGGTTATGATGAATTATGTGTGGGACTTTAGCCAATCAGAAATGGAGAAATTTTTTGAATAAATAATTTTGATGGTTTGTTGTGTCAAGAACCTACTGGAGATGGACGTGTACAAAATAAATTCACTGGGCTTCTGCCATATGCCTGTCATAAATTTTTATGTGCTTATGTAGGGCTGTCACTAAGGGCCAGGAGCCATGGATTGTCCCCTGCTACTACAAGCACGACCCATGCTACTTTCATTAGAAACAAAAGGAAAATAGAACCAATTCAATCAGCCTTGAATCGGAAAAAAAAAACAGAAAAAAAGAGAAGAAGAGGCAGCTAGATGTTGTTCAGGAACTGCATTCAGTGCAACTAACCGACCGTGCTACGGTGGCAAATGTTAGTTTCAATTTTGCGAAGAAAGGATTATAACTCCATCGTTATTCATATCTAATTTGAAATTCCCGCTCTGATGATTTTGCTTAACAAAGAACTTAATCGATTTCTGTTGTTAGCGATTCTAACAAAAAAATGCAAAGGTTGCCGACGGTTTTTTTGCATACGTTTTTTCTTGCAAAATAAGCAGAAACTGGGAAAAAAACTGCAGGGCAATGTTTCCCAAAGAATCAGAGGCCACATGCAAAAATTCAGCTGATTTGGAAGGACAAAAACACCCAAACTGTCACTTAACATTAGGTGAATCCAAGCCCTTCATTAATTATTTATTAATTTTATTCAATTACCCACTTACAGTGTACTGTCAGTAATATTGCATATAACTAGCAACTTGAGATCTTTTTTGTACTGACAGCCATGGTTTATATATAGTTTGTTTAAGTTGATGAGAGACATCATTCACACTACAGAAAAGATTGGTTCTTAACATTTTGTAGCAATCAAGAAGTTAAAGGAATTTGTAAATTCTACAGTTACACCAGTGTCATTATTATGCATTATGGTTCCAGTCTGGCGTATGTACTCCCTTCATTGTAGGCTTGACTTGCCTGTGGTCATAGATTTTATGTACTTGACAATGATTTTACCGTTAGTAAAACTTTTTTTCCATTTTGTTTATTTTCAGTGTGTTGTGGCCAAAGTAGATGCAGATGCAGAAAAGGATTTAGGATCAAAGTAGGACATTTATCCCAAAACTACATCACAATATTAATCAGAATCAACAACTGGCCAGAGAGCTATTTAACGAAACACAGGGCTTCAAATAACACCCATCACCTTTTGCATTTTTTCTCCTTGGTTGAGTGTCCATATGCTTCTCATTTTGATCATAAGTCTCAACCGAAAAATTATTTTAAGTACATTTTAAATGAAGAAATTAAAGGTAAATTAACCCATTCGCTCCTGGAGATTTTGCCGAAAAACGCGTTTTGAAGCTAGTCGAGTGGTTTTCTGGTCACTGTCGTGCTATAAAGAGCTAAAACTTACCACAAACCGGTCTACAGGTCGTACACTTGGCGGCCTTCTGATCCAGATGCAAAATATCAGCTTGCGAAGTTCGGGCATGCGCAGAAAGCAAAATTTCGACATAGTTTTTGGGTTTAAAAGTGACACAGCAGTCTTGACTTTTACTTTTCGCTTTCTCTCCTCCCTTCTTTTTTCGCTTTTCTTGCCTCATTTTTTTTTTCTCTTGCTGGGCATTTAGTAGGCTTCATTTTGGTGGGAAGAGTTTTTAGGAAAGCTTTTAGGATCTTAGGATTAGGTGAAAGGAAAGGTAGGTGGGTAATGGAACAAGATTTTCATGGTGATTTTCAGGTCAATGTCACGTGGTTTTTTGCTTCTTTCTCCGGTGTCCTTGACTGAATTGTGCTTATTCTGGTATGGTTTGAAAGATCTCTTCACTTTGCACAAGTTAGTCAAGAAAGTTGTCCTTGACCGTTAAAACTGATGACGTCACAATGGGTAGAAAGGACCTGGATCCGCACGGGCGGTTACGGGTGGTTCAGGGGCGAATGGGTTAATAAATAATAAATAAACAAATCTTAGCCTTAGTTTAAAATAGTGTCATACAAAATTTCCAACTATAATATTTTATTATTGTATTTTGATTTCTGTCTCTGCTTCATATATGATGATTTGAGTTTATTTCATCATCTTTTTCAGGTATGGTATCAGTGGTTTCCCTACTATCAAATTTTTTCCCAAAGATAACAAAGAGGGGGAGGAGGTATCATTAATATTAATTTATTATTATTATTATTATTATCATCATCATCATCATTATTATTATTATTATTGTTATTATTATTGTCATATAATTCAATGGTCATGCATAAATCAAGATTATTGTTTATATTTCCCTTAAAAGTTAATTAGATTGGGTGAAAGAGGCATATTACAAGGAAAACAGCTAGTATTTGATGCAAATGTTAATATCTCAATCTTATCGCCTTTAAAAAGGCAATAAAAACTAACTTTAAAAAAAAAACTTTCAGTTGGTCACTGGGTATGGGTCGATCACCAAATTGGTGACCTTCACTGCTATTTTGGTCACAAAATTTTTTTATTTTTACTCACCCTGATGATCAAAACAGTCACAGCTTGAAATATGTAGACACTTCTAAAAAATATTACCATAGACAATTTTTCTGATCCTAATGTTCATCTTTTAATAACTGCAGTACAGTGGAGGTCGTGAGAAACAAGACTTCATAGACTTTCTGAATGAGAAGTGCAAGACGAACCGAGTTTCTGGTGGGGGATTGAGTGATGAGGTAAAAATTAACAATAAGTGTCCTTTTAAATCTTTGATGTGGGAAATATGAAATCAGAGTAAAATAGTAAGAGTGTATGTGGAAACAGCATACCAAATGCTTTTTTTTTTTACTTCTTTATCAGGCTGGAAGGATTGAGAAATTTGATGAATATGCCAAGGATTTCATGGCTAATCAGGTAAGATTTTAAAAAAATAATAATCACATTTCTTTAATAATATTAGGGAGCTTAAGCAACGATAACGACAATGGCGGTGATTATATCCATTAAAAAGTGAACTTATGCGGTTTCAATTCATCGCTCTTATTCCATGTTGTTTAATTTGTCAAAATGTTGGTGAATTTTTCTGGAATAGAATTCTAAAGGACTGTATGTAAGTTTAAAAAAATAGAAAATCATTGGTTCACTTCCTCCATAAAACATGGAATTTGGCAGTTTCACATCCTTTTCTTGCATTGACGCTTGTCTGTGAGCAATGTTGTTATTTTGCTAATCTAAACCTATTGGTTTTTGTTATTCTTATCACCGTCGTCGTTGTCTCACTTAAGATCCCTTAGCTAAATCTCTCAACCTTTACATCTTTAAGTGTGACGCAAAAATGTACTTTTATCAACTGAGTTGGTAAGGTACTGTAGATTGGCCACTGTATCGAGAAGTTGACGTTTCAAGTGCAGGTCCAATGCAACACTACAGCTTCTTTAGAAACTAACCCCCTCATTCATCTCATTGTGATTGTCTTGTGTTTGTTTGTTTGTTGTTAGGATAAACGTGATGCAATCCTGGAAGAAGCCAAATCCCTCATTGATGCACAAGAAAATACAAAGTGAGTTCTTTGACAGAAATGTAGAACCAATACACCTTATCCCTAAATGAAAGAAATTCTTGTCTTCATAATAATAGGCCAAGGCCAAACATACATCTACCATAAGAAGTTAATTATTCTTTAAATTGCCTCTTTGGTAGTGCTTTCTGTAAACTTGACTTTTGTGTTGTCTCTGGTTTCTAAAATACTGTTGTAATTGATAATGAGAAATCTCAACAGTGTAATTATTTTGGTCCAGACTTTGTTGTTACAATGACACAACAGTGGAATTCAAAGGAAGCTGGAGCTAGAGCTTGTGCTAGAACCTGTACCTTGATCAGTTTCATGGTTAATAGAGGTTCTTTTGTGTTCTGATTCAGAATGGCAACATACTACACTAAGGTCATGGAGCGTGTGCAGAGTAAGGGAGATGCTTTTGTCATTACTGAGATTGAGCGCTTGGAACGTCTTATTGGTAAGATTTTGTTTTTACTGTGATTGCGATAAAAAGTTCTGTGTTCCATGTTTAGAAAATAGAGTGGGGAAAAACAGAAAAAAAGGCTGATTCATGTTTCTGGATTCACGTTGGGAAATAAAATGATTAATCATGTAAAAAGGGCTAAAATAATCCTGTTTTCAAAGTCATAAAAGAGTTCTCTCATTCTTAAGGTTAAGGTGTTTAAGTTAAGGAACATGCCAGATATTTTTACGCACACCTTATTTTCGTCAATATTTATAATTTCATACCCTTGTCAGATATGTAAAATTGTTTCCTGTACGTAAGTCCACAAGGGTAACCAATGCAAAATCTCGCACTTTCTAGCTAGTGTGGGAGCCTGCAACCAGATACATTAGGGCCATTTTTATACGAGGAAAAATAAGACGCGTCTTAAATAAGACGCGAACTTTCCGTATAAACGGCACATTTCGTCTAAAATAAGACGCGGCTTAGCTAAGANACAATGACACAACAGTGGAATTCAAAGGAAGCTGGAGCTAGAGCTTGTGATAGAACCTGTACCTTGATCAGTTTCATGGTTAATAGAGGTTCTTTTGTGTTCTGATTCAGAATGGCAACATACTACACTAAGGTCATGGAGCGTGTGCAGAGTAAGGGAGATGCTTTTGTCATTACTGAGATTGAGCGCTTGGAACGTCTTATTGGTAAGATTTTGTTTTTACTGTGATTGCAATAAAAAGTTCTGTGTTCCATGTTTAGAAAATAGAGTGGGGAAAAACAGAAAAAAAGGCTGATTCATGTTTCTGGATTCACGTTGGGAAATAAAATGATTAATCATGTAAAGAGGGCTAAAATAATCCTGTTTTCAAAGTTATAAAAGAGTTCTCTCATTCTTAAGGTTAAGGTGTTTAAGTTAAGGAACATGCCAGATATTTTTACGCACACCTTATTTTCGTCAATATTTATAATTTCATACCCTTGTCAGATATGTAAAATTGTTTCCTGTACGTAAGTCCACAAGGGTAACCAATGCAAAATCTCGCACTTTCTAGCTAGTGTGGGAGCCTGCAACCAGATACATTAGGGCCATTTTTATACGAGGAAAAATAAGACGCGTCTTAAATAAGACGCGAACTTTCCGTATAAACGGCACATTTCGTCTAAAATAAGACGCGGCTTAGCTAAGACGCGTCTTATTAGATAAGACATGCTCGTATAAATGGTACAGTTCGCGTCTTATTTAAGACTCGTCTTATGTAAGATGCGTCTTATTTTTCCTCGTATAAATGGGTCTATTGTTTTGTATATCCATGTTGTGGTCAGTTGACAACTGTCAAAATAGGGTTTCTGCTGACCAGTATCACATAACCATATTGCGGGCTCAGGAGTCGACCATTTGATGTTACATGTTTTTTTTGGAGTTATCCACGAACAAGTTACTAGTTTTTAACTGATCGCGGGCTCAACTCCAAGTGGATTTCTTTGCAATGTTTACAAGTTTATCATTTGAAGTAAATTACAAATTTATTAACGGGAGCTTTGCTTTCAGCCTTGAGTAAATATATATATTGAAAATAATTATATCAATCTCGTCTCCTCAATACAGGTGGTGATATCAGTACTGCTAAGAAGGATGAGTTCAGCATGCGCCGTAACATTTTAGAACAGTTCAAGGCTGAAGCTGCCAAAGAAGAGCTGTAAACCCAGTGGTGATGTTTAAAACAATAATTTGGTGTGTGACAGACATGTTTTAAAGTGTTTACAGTAGTTACTAATCCCACACAGCTATTTGCACTTCATTCAACCAAAAACAACAACAAAACAGCAAAACATTTATTACCGTTTTCATTTTACTTAATTGCAATTTCTTGGCATGCAGATCCTAGAGAATGCTGTTTTGTGGGTGACGATCTTGAAAGTAAACTGTTTTATTATTTTGCATTTCTGACACTGTGCTCTGTTACTGGCACACTAATTGAAAGTCCATTATGTGAAGCTTCAAGAATATAGTGATATTGTCCTGGCATAAACTAAGGTTGTTTGGAAAAGTAAGAACTTCTTCAGTTTGTTTTCTGTTAATTATTATACTTCTGGTGCTTTGAATCTAGGCCCAATAAATATTGTAAAGCATTAACCCATTAAATCCCAATATTTCTAGAGTGATCTCCTTGTACAATTCCTTAAAGAATTTGTTAAGAGAATTTGATAAAAGATGAAAGCACTCCCCTTTGGTGATCATTTTCTTAACTCCCCTAACCTTTCCTCTTGAAGATGTGTAGATATTCTCAGGAGAAAATTGATGTTGGTCTTAAAGTAACTTAACTTCAGCGGAGTGAAAATGAAGTGCAATGGTTGTGTGTTATTGGTAGCCACTGTGACCCCTCCTCGCATTGAATAAAGCGTGAATGACTCCACTTGTGCTAGAATATTTTGCTTGTGTAACTGGAAACATATTTCAGATTGGCTTGACTCTATTTTTTTGTTTTGTTTTTATTTGTCCTTGAATGGCATTATAGAGTGTTTTCACATGATGTCACGGCGGCCATATTGGTGTCCTAAACCAATGAAACCAATCCTCTGGGAGTTGAACTTTTTTCTTATGCAAACGCTTTTTTTTGTTCCAATAAATTTGCATAGATGCTGGCCACGTGCGTGAAAACACTCTATACTTTGATAATTTACTGGGGATTAACACTGCATGAAAATCAGGAATTGATTAACTTAAAGAAAAAGAAGAAAATTTAAGTTTCCTCCTGTAAGTTGTGTTTTTCTTACCACTGATTTTTTTCAGCTCAGAAAGTGGAGGTTTTTACGCAGTGAAATCTTTTCCACCGACATCATATTCAGATGTGTATTTTCATAACTTTTGTCACAACTGTGTAACTTTTTATCCAGCTGGTTAATGCTCTTTCCTATACAAGTCATGTAATAGCAAATTAATGTTGTACACAGCACCTTGCCACTTTTATAGAAAATAAATAACAATGTGAATTTTTTTTTTTGTATGTATAGTCACTAGTACCTCTGCCAGTACCTTAGACCATGAGCGGTCATCCTTCTTTTCTCAGAGCCACACTTGGCAAGCATAAAGTAAGATTTTGCAAATTAAAAAGGAGGTGACATTAGGGTGGAATGAGGAGAATTTTTTTCCACTCAGGCTTCCACATACAAATCCTGGCAAACCGGATCTTTTTCAGGCTCTTTTTTTGGCAACTGCATATTAGTTGCATCTTAAAGTGAGATGAGCCTCTTTGCATTTATTTCTTCATTCCATGGTTCCTTATTATATGAAATTCAGATATTCATCACTTCATCTTTGTCAGATGAATATTAAGGCAATATTATCTTTACTCTCAGCTCTATACAAAGACAACACTGTTTTAATACTAATTCTTTGTTATTTACAAACACTCCCATTTTAAAAGGTGATATCTCAATAAACATGGGTACACATTTGTCTCCATTTACAATCTGCATATTCCTCTCGACTTGCAAATATTTTAGTTGTATCCCAAACATTTTAAGTCCATTATGGCTGAAAACATATTTCTTTTTTTTTTTCATTTGGCTAAAACTTCACTCAGGTGCTTGCATAGTTTTTTTTTGTTAAATAACAGAAAATTCAGTGGAAATTGTTAACATAAAGAAGTCGGACAAAGCTGATCTTTTTGCGATGTAACAGACTGTATACTGCATTCAAGCTTTCAAGGCTGCAGTTGAGTTCCATGAGTAGTATTCATTTTTATCGCCAATGCATCGCTGCAACACTGAAAAAAAAAAGTGTGCTGTGTCAGTTAAATGTGTAAAGTACATGTGCTAAAGTTACAAGCTAAAAAAATAATTAATGCAGTGCTGTAACAGAGTTTTTTTATTTCTCAGGGGGGCGAATGAAATTTTTATCTGCATAGAGAAGGGTGAAGTTAGAATTCTCTCAAATGGGGGTAAAACATTTTCATCAAACTGTATTTTAATATCAAAAGGAATATGCAGTTTAAGTAATAGTGACCATAAATTCCGAAGNGGGGTAAAAGAGATATGAAAACTAATTAGTGTGTCGTTGGTGGGTGTGGTGTGTAAAAAATTTAAAAAAAAAATAAAAAAAAAAATAAATTAAAAAACCCAAAAAATCATATCTTTAATTAATTTTTTTTTTTTTTTTTTTTTTTTTTTTTTTAAAACCCTAAAAAATTTTTTTTTATAATTTGTAGTTTTAAAGGGGGTTTGGGGGGGGGGGGGGGCTTAAAATAGAGGGGATGATGGATGGGAGGGAAAGTAAAACAAAAATATATTAAAATTCATTTTGGGTATTTATGGACAATGTATTTGACGTGTATAAATTGCACAATAACAGTTAGCTTGTACTAACAATCAGGTTTTAAAGCTATTATTACAATTTCATAAAACTTACTAGATTGTTGCAGGAATAGGACGCTGACCCCTTATGTCTATATACGGCTCCTGTCTGAGAGAGTACTGTAAAAAAAAGATGACATGAGCCATATTTAACCTATTTGCATGATATTGCAAATAGTTCACATTTCTGCAGTTTGAGTTTAACTTGTAAGAATCATTCCAAAGTGAAAGACTACAGAACGTTTGGCTCAAATTTCGTCCTGATGAAAAAGAAAATTTATTTTGGCATATGCCATGCCAACCTCATGTCAGGGCTTTTCCCTTAGAAGTGGGAGAGGTAGGAAAAGGCTTGGAGACAAGGCTGATCCCAGCCTGCAAGCAAGCTCTCTAGGGCACTCTGGCTCTCTCCTTCCTTGTTTGCCTCACCGCCAGAGTGCCCCAGAGAGCTCGCTCGCATGCTAGGCTGATGCAGAGGCTCTCTTAGGGGGAGGGGGGTAGGTACATATGTCCCTAATCTGAATTTCAAATATGATCTTTCAGCGTTTTGAGGAGTAGGCCACTTGTGTCCCTATTGGCATTTAACCCATCTTCATGTCAATTAGCCTCCCCCGCAGACCTTGTTAACCCTTTAAACCCTAACATCAAAATTCAAATTCTCATTTGTTATCCCTATACGTTTTCAATAGAAGTAGTGGGGAGAATTTGTTGAAGTATCCGTTAGATTTATCTTGTGTGATCATGTCCTTAATTCTCATGACCACTTTGTTTTATAAAGCAGTGATAAATTACAAGGAGAAATTTGATGCTGATCACTCTTAGTGCTTAAAGGGTTAAGGGAGTTCATATTTCTTCCCTCCTCTTCTGTGGGCTACACGTTGATTGTCACCATGTTATCTTGTCTTTTGTCACTGTTTCAACATTGATGACTTGTCGGAATTTTACCCTAACAGGGCCACGATGCAGATTTGATAAGATTTGTGTGCAATAAAACACTGATAGAAATAAAAAAAATCCATGGGAAAATAATGCAGTTAGCTGCTCTCAGTAATGGGAAGAATGACTATTTTGTAATGTTGCAAAGCTGCAGATGTATTAAACACTATTTTTTTTGTTTTGTTTTGTTTTTTTCTTTAATGTGGAATAGTTTGTTTGACACATTTTAACTTCTAAACCAAAATTCCTCAACTTGAACATTCATAGAACTGTTCCTTACCCTCCATGAGCCCGTCTCCCTTGGTGACAGATATCGTGTTGCATAACCATTGAACCTCATTTGATCAGCAGAGTATTTAAGATATGGCTCAGGCATAAATGTATAAGGTTCAGATGGTTCTGGGGAAGAAACAGTTAATAGCGATTACTTACTGGATGTATTCATGGGTGTCACAAATCATTTTGACTCAATTATATGGAAAAATTCTTGGAAATCATGGGAATTGTTGCCATAAAAATTGGCAAAACTTGCCTGGTACATGTATCATTTTATAGATTTATATTGTGGATATGTACAAGTCTACCACCTCAAAGATAAATTTCAAATCCCTTGGTACGGTTGATCATCCCCTAAACAAGCACTATTGGCTTTTCAATATTCGATAAATACATGAATTCTCCAAGCAGTTTGCATAAGGACACATTGCGGACCTGTTAACTGACAAGTGCAACGAAATCATTCAATATCCTGCTTACCGTTTGGAGCGAGGGGAGAAGGTTGTCTTTCTCGTGTTTTTGCTGTCATCGATCGCTCCAAAAATTCCGCCATTCCCCTGTGAAAAAACCTCACATACTTAAATTACTGGTAACAAAAGCAAATCCTTTTTGTGCAACTGAGGAAACCTTTAAGCCACCAATCCCACCGATGTTTTAGAAAATAAAAAAAATGGTTTCACATGTCGGGGAAGACTACTTTTCTGATATCTTTGGCGAATTCTCTGTACCTTTTTTTTTTTTAAACACAGTGCTCTTGAGTTTTTCAAGGGCCCATAGACTGCTAGTCTGCTACACAGCCGTTTTTAGAGTCGAGCGTTGCGTGACGACACTAAAAACGGCTGTGTACAAATGGTGTAGCAGACTAATAGACTGCGAGCAGTCTCTCTTTTTCAGATCTAGTAGGGGAAGTGTAGGCGCGCGCTCATCGTGTCTCGCGCGCGTGGTTCGACGAACCAAGAAAAAAAGAGAGACTGCTGGTAGAATTCATCACCTACGACTTCCAGTATTTTTCGGTTTGGCTTTGAAGAGCGTGGGGAAGAAAAATATGCGGATGGGCTCTTTACAGAAGAGGAAAAACTCTAATCTCTAATAATTTAATGGGAACAGGAAGTAATTATTAAAACTATGTGTAAAGTGGCTGTTTATAACGCAACTAACTTGATATCCCACGTTAGTTTTTTCCACTGAGAGAAAAATATAGGGTTTACTAGAGCGAGGTAATACTGAAGCGTGAGCGCTGAAATGAACGCTTGCGGAATAGATGATTATTTGTTTTGCAGCGTTTTCGTTGTACCTCGAAGTAGATCAGCTACTAATTAGTAATGAAGGTTAAAACCGGCATTGTTCAATTGTCATAGTTCATTTTGAAAGCCGACCCATTTCATTTGCCTTTTAAATCTCTCTCGCTGTCTCGCTTTAATCTGTTAAGCCTGTGGTTTTGTTCCAGAGATCTAAAGCTCTGCACAAACTCTTCTTACCAACAGAAACGTTTGCTAGAGTAAACAAATAAAAAATGCACCGAGGATAAAAGAAAATACAGCGCAGTGAAAACACACAACTACGGTAACTTGCTCAAAAACAGTTTCCTTGTGTTCTTGACATAAAAGAAAAAATAGAAAGAACGCCGCTCACGTGAGCTGAATAGCCGACCGTAAAAGAGACAAAGGTTTTGCAGGGATATTATAATTAATTATTTTACTTTGAATGTTTACTACACTGCACAGAAAAAGTTATGTAGACGGTATTTTGGGGGAATTTTCTGTTGACGTGTTCCCGGTGGTTTCCGACATGCAAAACAACCGGTTGGTACGCTCTTGGCTCGTGATATTAAACCTACCCTGATTCAATTGGCTGGTAGGATGTAGACTGAAGCTGGCGTCCCGTCTCGGTTATTCTCTGAAAAATAAACAAACAGTCAACATGAAATTTTAAGAAAAATAATTTAAGGCTTTAAGATTCCACCAAAAATCCGCCGAGTTGTAATCCGGTACTTAATGCCACACTAGGTAATAAGTGCACGGTAACTAGATATCACCTTACCGTGCCTGACAACGGCTTCTCAGCTGGTCTGAACAGTGTGATAGTGCTGCTTTTGAAATCATCTGCAATACAAAATGAAAGTTGGATTCAAAGGGGTTGTCTTATCCTTAGCCAAATATCTTTACTTTTCCGAATGCATTAACCGTACTCCTGGTCAAGGGTGTTGTAGTCCGTGAATGTTCTTCTGGTAATTTATGCACAGCCGTATCCATGTCCATACGCCGGAATGTTGGTAGCATGGGATGATAAAGGCCTTCTTTTACTGACGCTAACATGTGCTTTCTATGCGCCAAAGACGGATGCCATCGTTGAGTTGTGATCGACATCGCAGGTCCTCCGAAACGCGAAGCGCGAGCAAGATGCAAAGGAACGCAACCGAGTTACTCGCGATTGACAATCCTGGAGTTATATTTCCAAAGTCTCTCAGCCAACCTTGTCACCGCTTTGTTGCATCTATAACTTTTTTTTTTAAAGACGTAAGGCTCTCGACCAATCAATGGGGCGCACTACTATTGTGAGGTAATCTTACTCTGTGACGTATAATCCGACTGAAATAAAGTCTAAATCAGACTTATCAATTCGTCGGCAGGTTTTTTTTTTCTTTTTCTGAAGCTCATTCACTTCAAAGCTTTTTAAATACCAAGCATTACGCAAGTGAAGTGATCACGTAGTGCCTGCGGTTTTGTTAGCTTGAAACTTCTAATACTAGGTCAAACATAATTACCAGCCTCTTGGGAATCACTACCTCAAGTATCTATACACAAAGTAAGTCAATATAACCGTTATGTAAACACCATCTGCTGGGTGCTAATGACTGTAAATTTGTATCGACTAGCCTGCTTTAATAGCAAGCGAAAGTACTTTCTCGACGATTTCGAGTGCAAACGCTTGCTACGCAGGCCATGTGTTGACTAGCTTGCCAACCCAGACGTATTTCCGTCAGTCGGTACTATTATTTGATATATTTTGCGTCGCTCAAGTCTTGTAATTGTGGAAACTGTCTTTATAATTTGGCAGAAAAAAGGGCAAAATAGCTGCAGCAATTAAAATTTTTGCGGTTTGCCGAACGACCTGAAAGGTGGCTTTGACAAGATATCAGACGATAAAACGGAGGATTACCTATTAACTTCATTTGAAACATTTTATTTAACTATCAAAAGCTGATTTTCAGTTGTCTTAAGTGTCACTTGGATATGCTTTGTTTACTGAAATTAAGGTGAAACTCGTATATTGCTTTGCAAGCGAAGAGATTCGGTAAAAAAGTTTATTGGCTTACTTTACTTTGTGTCCAAAAATGGAAAATATTTGTGAGCACCAAGTTGACTTTCTCTTCTTTTACAACTAACTTGGCCTTGGCCTTGAAAGTTTTGTTTTACTGAAAGAAAAACTCGAGTCATGAAGGGTCACGAGTTCTTCGCCTTCGGTAACAAAGACATGTTACACGAAAGTCTCCAACAAGGGATCACGAAAGAAATTTATACAAGAAAAATGAGAATCTTTAACTTCATTTATGAATTTACTTACTTGAAAAGGGAGCTAATAAAATAAATTTTTTCGCCTTCGGCGCTTCACCTGTTGACGCTGTTTGCCAAAGAATCTTCTTCAACTTCAGTGCGTACGCGCTCGCGCGCGTTATGATCGTAGATCATGTTTAACGCGCGCGCGGTTGCTATGGAATGCTGTGTTTTCATTTGGTTCATTGAATTCCTTTTGTCTGTGCTCCCAGTATTGAGTTTCAAAAATACGAATCTAGCTCTAAATTATCTCGAAAATTACGTGAGTTTAATAGTTTTTTTGAATTTCACTGGTAAATAAGAAGGTTTCAAAGATTAGTTATTGAAGATTTGACTTTGTGGTGTTCTAGAGCAACTATTTTCTTTTTCAAACAAATAGTATTTTATGTATTTAATTAAGCTCAGAAATATGACTAACAGATTAGTTCGATTTAGGTAAGAGTGATAAAGGTTTCAGGTAAATAAATTTACCCATGGCCAAACATATGTCATTTATCAGTTTTGCAAATTGTTTAAAGACAAAAGTGGTCCTGTGATTGTTTAAGGATCATAATACGATCCGCAGGCTAGCTAACTCGGAGTAAAAATTTGGTCGAGATTAAACCTGTGTATTGAAAAGAGAGAATTTCCATGTCTTAGAGAGCCCATTGAGCCCAATAAATTCCATATATAAAACCACTTCTATTAAACGCTTATCGACAGTTACGGTAAATCAACAGTACATGCTAATGAAGGTTACAGCAGCCGATTGAATTAAATGCTACCTTCAGAGAATAGTTGAAAAGATTTGAAAGTATATTCACCGGCAGATCTCGACGTGGAATTCCTGCAGTGCTCTATCGGCAATTTACACAGAGTTTTATCACGATCCATTTGTCGATAGGTGGGAGGTTTAGGGTGAATCATGCCCTCCTTAACTGCTGCCAGCATTCTCCGCGGAGGTGAGTAGCCATAGTCTGTTCCGTGAGGTCTCACGGCGTCGTGTTGGCTAAACCTGATCCCTTGACGATCATAATAGCGGCTGCTCAACGCAAGCTGCAGATGACGCGACATTTTAACTTCACAATCTGTTGTCCTTCGTAGAGTTATTCAACGATTGAACAAGGTAACTATGCAGTATCCGTTTTACACAATGGATCATATTCCTCGTGTGTCGACGCGCG